CAGCTTCAGATTGCTGCTAACGCAACGTCATTGGAGCTCAGCAAGCTTGGAGGAGAATGCTAACTGCTAATTCTGTTTACGTCAGCTAATACATTGGCTAGCCTGCATTGGCTAGCATTGCAGTCAGTGATGGGAGGAATGGTGCTAATGGAAATTAGCATTATTGTTGTGGTGGTAATTTGGTGAGCAAAACCTACTTATTAAAGTGTTTGTATTAAACAGTTCTGTATTATGATGTATTCTGTTCATTATCATAAGGCAAACAGTGTAAAAGTTCATTAAAGAACATTAATGACTGAGGTTACTTGGTTAGCATACGACAAAGGAACAACATTTCATAGCAGAATAATTGTTTATCTCGACTGTTATTAATAATAACTAATTATTTACTGAAAAATTGTGTATTTTATCATATTTCATGTTCTCTGACAAAAACAGTAAGTCCTTTGATAATGTGTGTTACCATGATGTCATAACAGGTTTACTCTACTTAACTTAGTGCCTAACAACACCCTTACCCGTGGTAAAAACACACGGCCTCTCGTGGCTTTTTGTTTTATTTTACTATTTTGCCCAATAAAATTGTTTAAGATTTTTTACTTTTGTTAAAGAAGGTTTCCTTAAAAAGTGAAGGGACATCCTTCATCCATCTGTTAACTATGCTTTATGTGTTGTATTTTCTTTTCTGGTCAGCCAGTTAGAAAGTATTTTTCAGGCTGTTTTGGGCCTTTAGCTCAATGTACAGCCATTCACTCCACTATAAACCCTAAACACAGGGGCTTCATGTTGAGAAGGGAAAGGAAAAGTAAATAATATTCGTTGGCTTTTGTGTGCTGGGCTGGTATTGTTTTATGTATGAGCTCTCAGCCTGCGGTCATTCTGGTCAGTTTGTAGCAGTAGAGGTAGCACTCAGAGCCCTGCTGCATGTTTCATTCTCCACTTTCTCCTCACTGCAGATCCATTAACTCAGACAGAGCATGCACACACACACGTACTCACACACACACACACACACAAACACACACACACACCACACACACACACACACACACACACACACACACACACTCACAATGTCATTTCCTGTGACAGATTGAATTCTGGGTTGGGCTTAGTGTGGATATTGCTTTGGAAACATCAGAGACTGCAGATGAAATTTAACATTCCCTAATAACTAAACCTCTTACTCTCTCTCTCATTTGTTCTGTCTTTCTGCCTCCGTTTTTCCCTTTATCACTCTCTCTGTCTCGTTTTCTGTCTCTCTTTCACTCTCTCATTTGCTCACTCTCTCGCTTTCTCATTCTCTCCATCTCCCTTTATCTCTCTGTCTTTATCTCTCTCATTTGCTCCCTGCCTTTCTCTCTCCCTCTCTCTAATGCAGTGTGTTTATGGAGTCTGTATTGATCTGGGGCAAATCAGGTCTGAGTGAATCAGTTCTCAGTGAGTCAGCTCTGAGTGATTCAGTTCTTAGTGAATCATTCTGTGCAAATCAGTTCTGAGTGAATCAGTTCTCAGTGAGTCAGTCATCAGTGAATCAAGTCTCAGTGAATCATTCTGTGCAAATGAGTTGTCAGTGAATCAGTTCTCAGTGAATCCATTCTGTGTGAACCAGTTGTGAGTGAATCAGTTCTGTGCGAATCAGTGCCAAAGGTGTCGAGTCGAGTCATATGACTTGGACTTGAGTCCAACTCGAATCATGAATCTGATGACTTGAGACTCAACTCGACAAAGTTGAGAAAGACTTGTGACTCGACTTTGAGTTGAACACCAATGACTCGAACTCTGACTCGGAGTTGAGCCTCGTGACTTGAGAAAGACTCGAGACCCAAAGTGGAAGAAATGTGGAGAGACTGACTGCAGTTGTTTACTTTTCATGTGAATAGATTGATTTCTTGCCGTAAATCTGATATACAGCAACATCGGCAAATGTCTGTTTCTGTGCTTATGCTCGGCTTATTTTAGTACTGACTCGGGTCTTCAGTAGAGATTCAACTGTCTTGCCTTGGGACTTGAGTGTTAAGATTGGAGACTTACTTGTTACTTGCAACTTAGTGACTTGTTCCCACTTGTTCTCTGATAAAATCTAAGTGCATCCATTCTGAGTGAATCAGTTCTAAATGATGATTCTGTAACTATATTCATCGCACACCTGCCTCTATTTAGTACACACACACACACACACACACACACACACACACACATGCACACACAACAGACACATATAAAATAAAGCAACCCACTAAACTGCACCATCTGTTTTTAGAGTTCTTTATGTTTTCTTTCATTTCCGCCATATTTCCCCAGTTCTGCTTCTTTTCCTGCACAGCTGCTCTGAGTGAGAATACATTCTGGATGTGACTGGAAATGTAATTGTAAATAATGGCAGGAAAGCATCAAACATCAGGGGAAGAACAAGTTTTTGGAAAAACTAAAGAGAGTTAAAGATTGGTTACTGAGGTATAGCATCACTTAGCTACAGTAATACAAGAGTCGATGGTCAATGAAAGTCCTCATAAATATGCAAATACACACACCAATACAGATATAAATGTATGTTTGTATTTCTATATTTGTGAGGACTGCGCTGTGTGTGTGTGTGTGTGTGTGTGTGTGTGTGTGTGTGTGTGAAGGACTCAGGTGGTGCCATGAGGTCCTGCACCTGCAGCTCCTTCACATTCTAATGAATCACTGTTTTTATTCATACAGGTACATAACAAAGAGGAATAACCCAGTTTCATCTGTTTGTCTCTGTGTTTGTGTGTGTGTGTGTGTGTGTGTGTGTGTGTGTGTGTGTGTTGTCGAATGTCACTGGAGTGTGTGGTTTGCTTAGTAAAGTCGTGTTTAATCTTTTGTTTGCTGGTTGCTCTTCTAGTGGGTAGAAGAGGACAGTGAGATGTGAGGTGATAAAAACCAGCTACTTTCACACCTCCTTTATCTCTCTCTCTCTCTCTCTCTCCTCTTGAAGGAACAGACTCTTCTCCTCTCTATTATCTATCTCACACACATACTCACACATACACACAAATGCACACCATGTACTCAGTGCTGAGTGGTGAGACAAAGATAGAAACAGAGAGAAAGAGAGACACAGAAAGAGAGAGAAAGAAAGAGAGAGACACAGAGAGAGAGAGAAAGAAAGAGAGATGTTATAAGAGTAGCATGCACAGGAAAAAAAAAACAAAGCAAGAGGATCTGGAAAGAAACAGAGAGCGAGGACGATGAGGATGATGAAGAGGATTCAGAGCAGGAGCTCCATCAGCGTTAGTTGCCATGGTTACACAGGCTTCCCCCCTGACCCTGTGTGAGCTGAGCCACAGGATCGGTCCTCGGAGAGCACTGCCACGTAGCACTGTGGACCTCTGTGTGCTGTATAGAATGCAGGAGAAAAATGATAGAGGAAGGAAAAAAGGATTCCTCAAGTAGTGGCAACAATCAGTTTATCGTTTTATCAGTTTCTTCATTTAACACTGCAGCTACACGGTGCACACAGGCAGTTCACCCCATTCTACAAAAAAGGCCGAGCATTCATCTAGCATTCACCAAGATCGGGGGTCGGCAACATGCGGCTCTTTTACCGGCCCGTTGTGGCTCCACAGCAGAATTAGATTTGTAGGTAATAAAGCTCTGCTGATCGTTCAACACAGTTTTAGCAATAAATGGTCTTAAACGCTGGAGTTAATGTAGAACTGCTGATTTAAACCCTGAAGGTTGGCGCGCGGACTTCACCATAGCAATGCAGACAACAGTCTCGCCTAGGTAGTAGCTAACGAAAAGGCAAAGAGAGAGATTTAAGACAAACATCAGCATTTTGGAGACGAATGGACTTATTTGCATTTATAATCACTCCAGCTGGTTTCTTGATATGTTTAATCTGCAACCAGAAACTGTCAAACACTAAAAAGTCAGTTTTTCATTCGCCAGCTTCTCTTTTGAATTTTCCTGTTCCACCTTAAATGGGGCAACAGTTGCATTCTGATGCCTCAGGCACCATTTAAGGTGGAATGGGAAAATCCGAATGAGAAGCTGGAGAATGAGAAGCGACTTCAGCCTCGTAAAAATCGACCGCTAAGAGATATTTTACAAGAAACTGTTCTACTTTTGAGGAAACGTTTCCTGCCGGAGATGCGAGAAAAGCAGCTATAGCTGAGCTGAAGCTTAAAGCAGAGTAAAGTAAGTCTGAATTTTTGTTTATATTATATTTTTTAGCCTATATTAGTACATTAGCACACACGGAGACATATTTACAGCCAAGATGGTAAAATAGACATAAAACGTTGCTTCTCCCAAGGTGGTTTGATTTTTGTTGGAAGGACAAATTGGCTCTTCTTAATATTTGGGTTGCTGACCGCTGACCTAGATTAACAACAAAAATGGCTGTAAACAGTGGCTCACAGTTGTTCCCAAGACTTTCAGCTATGCTCTGCCTTATATTTTCTTTTACCTCTGCATTTTTATTGCTAGCATGTTTCCTGCTCTGCACCCCTGACTGGGCCCACGGGGGGCTTGTTAATTAGTTAATGAGTTGAATTAGGTGTGCTAGACAGGACAAAGCACAAATATTGCTCTGATTAAATCGTCTACACAGCGCTGAACATCTGTCCTTTTCAGACTCCATGTGAAAGACAGCATTAATATAATTAGGAATGTGTTCATTTTGAAAACGTATTTTTTTTCAGTGTGAATCGATCTTATCTGTTTTTCCGCTCTGTGAATGTACCCTTGTTTATGTGTTTTTGTACAGCTTCCTCAGTTTTAGTTGTGTACTGAACAGCATGTGCTCTTGAACGCTCCACCTGTGATCAGTGTGCGACTCAGTGGTTTATTGCTGTGGCATTTCTGACCGTTCCGCTGCCCATATGGCTCACAGCACTCTGGTCACTGACCTATTATAGCTGAGAGCCTCTACGGTGGAGATTCTCCTTTGAAATGCCACTTCATGTTTATTGTACAAAATAATTCATTACTGTTCGTCTGTTATTTGTTTGTGTGTGTGTGTGTAGCTGCTGTGGAGGCGTGTGTGTTGCACGGACTCAAGCGGAGGGCAGCTGGGTTTTTGCGCAGCAACAAGGTGGCGGCTCTCTTCACAAAAGTGGGGAAAAGTTTCCCCCCAGCTGAGGAGCTCTGCCGCAAAGCTCAGGAACTGGAGCAACTCCTTGAGAGCAAGTGAGAGCTACAACACTACACAGCTACAGTGTTCACTACATCACAGCCACAACACTACACAGCTACAGTGTTCACTACATCACAGCTACAACACTACACAGCTACAGTGTTCACTACATCACAGCTACAACACTACACAGCTACAGCGTTCACTACATCACAGCTACAACACAACACAGCTACAGTGTTCACTACATCACAGCTACAACACAACACAGCTACAGTGTTCACTACATCACAGCTACAACACTACACAGCTACAGTGTTCACTACATCACAGCTACAACACTACACAGCTACAGCGTTCACTGCATCACAGCTACAACACAACACAGCTACAGTGTTCACTACATCACAGCTACAACACTACACAGCTACAGCGTTCACTGCATCACAGCTACAACACAACACAGCTATAGCGTTCACTGCATCACATCATTACAATGTTACACTCCTACACCATGAAGTGCATTGCATACAAACATTGCTACATCATATACTACAGTATCCAGTATAACATCACATAGCTACAACACCACACAGCTACAAGTAAATCACCACATACCTACAACACAAGACAGCTACAGTATGAAGTATATCACACAGCTATGTTGAAAGACTTTTAATTCAGGATTTACAACAGATTTGGGTTTTACTTGTTGAAGTTTTTCACCAGCTCTAAATCTCTTTGCACCTCATTTTCTTCACAAAATTGTAATTTGGCCAGTTTCCTTAGGAAATCACGTTAATAGCTTGCTGTGTTCATCTGTGTGGGCATATTTCTGCATCAGCCTTATCTTCCTCTGTCGCTCCAGTGGAGGATGTGCTCTAAAGCTTTCAGCCAATTTAGCTATAATTGTAGCTAGGCTAAAGCAGCCTTTCATCCAAGTATGTAATCCTTTCCTCTCCCTCTCTCCACCTCTCTTTCTCTCTCCTTAGACGGAGTCAGACGCTTTCGTGCGACAGCTCCCGCAAGCTGCCCAAGCTGCCCGGCCTCTCCCCGCAGTCCGTCCGGCATCTGTGGATCCGCACGGCTCTCATCGAGAAAGTGCTCGACAAGATCGTCCTGTACCTGGTGGAGAACAGCAGGTGATAGATAGGGGTGGGAAAAGCACTTAAAGGGGAATTTTTAAAATGTCTGCATTATCAAATGACTGTGATGTAAACAAAGTCATTCAGAATCATTCACAGCGGTGGTGATAGGAGCCAGACGTCCACCTCTAAACACTCCCTCACAGAAAGCTATGCTCCCTTTAGATGTTGGTGGTAGATGGATGACGGCAAACCGGATATCCCATTGTTTTCAAAGGGGCTGCGACAGAAAATGCTGCCACCGCAGCGGCAGTGTTCCTCAGACCACATCAGTGAGATAAACCAGATGTTGAATTTTCGGGGAGCCATGGATGCTAAACAGTCGCAGGAATTTAGAACAAAAAATAAAAGAGTCTGGAGCATCCTCCTGCCCTTATTCACCTTAAATAAACAATATGCACTGCTCTGATAATCATCCATTTTCGTTGGCATGGCTTCATGCTCACTGGTGGCTTTGAAAAGTAAATGAAATGGCTGTACAACTGTGTTGTAGTCATGGTGACCCCTGGTTCCTATCACCACCACTGTAAAGACATCTGAGTCTCTACAATCAACCATTTCACACCAGACCACTCTGAATGATTCTGTTTACGTCTAACCGAATTAGTTATGCAGAAATTTTGAAAGATGGGTGGAATTCCCCTTTATGTAATATTGCTGCTGTAGTGATAATAAGCCTGTAATAGTTATTATGATGAAGTTGAGTACTTTATTAGAAATAAACTCAAGTAAAAGGACAATGATTATGATTTAATTATACTTTAAATGACCATTACAGGGAAGTACTGTAATGAGATGCGTAGAAAGACACACGCAGTGGATAGACAGATACGCATGCTGCCCACTCATGCTTATGAGGTGGTCCTATTCCTAAACTATTTTGGTTTCTTAACAGTTTCTCCTCCTTCTGTAAAAATGTGGGGACAATGTAAGTGGCTACCGACGTAAGCAAATGTCTATGGCCTAATTTATCAGCACCCAAAGTGGGGTAAATGTAGAAGAATAAAGATTACCTTCCACTGACCACTGAAAATATCTGAAACTGGACTTTATGTAGCACCCACATATTGACTGCTTCAAAATAATGATCAACAGCCATGATGCCGCTGCGCTGTTGTAAGTTTGAAAACGCTTGTGCAGCTTTTAAGCTGGGAGCTCATATTTACCTTAATTTCTTCAGCAAATGAAGTGTCAAAATGAAGGCGGCTTCAGATGATGGGAGGGACTGAGAAAGAGTAGACAGAAGGAATTTTATTTCTTATTACCGTCATCTTCAGACTCGTTCACTATATTTTGTTGATTTTGTATTTGCTCTTGTTTTGATTGCAGTAAGTTTTATGAAAAAGAAGCCGTTCTGATGGACCCGGTGGACGGCCCCATCCTGGCCTCGCTGTTAGGTATCTCTTCAGCCCGTTCAGATATTAATCACGATTAAAAATTACTTTCAGCATCATTTGATTTTCTGGCATTTAATGTTCTGTGCTGTTGCCATCACTGCGGTGTAATGGGTGCTCAACCCAAATGAGTGCAAATGATATACTGATATAATCTCTCTCTCTCTCTCTCTCTCTCTCTCTCTCTCTCTCTCTCTCTCTCTCTCTGCCTCTCTGTCATTCTCTCTGTCTCTCTCCTCCAGTGGGCCCATGTGCGTTGGAGTACACTAAGATGAAGACGGCCGACCATTTCTGGACGGATCCGTCGGCTGATGAGCTGGTGCAGAGACACAGGATCCACAGCGCACATTACAGACAGGACTCACCCACCAAGAGACCTGCACTGTGTGTGAGTCGGCTTAATCTGCACTCACTCCACAACCAGCACGGCATACCCAACACCATGCCCAACACTAACTCTATACCAACACACTATACTCAACTCTATATCCAACAACAACTCTACAGCCAACGCATTATACCATTATACCCAACACACTATGCCCAACACCAACTCCATACCCAACACACTACACACTGTACCCAAGACTGACTCTACACCCAACACACTACATGCTGTACCCACACACTAAACACCATGCAACCATCACATTATACCATTATACCCAACACACTATACCCAACACCAACTCTATAACTGTACCCAACACCAACTCCATACCCAACACACTACACCCTGTACCAACACACAACACACAGTACAACAATCAAATTGTACCATTATACCCAACACCGACTCTATACCCAACACACTGTACACTGTACCAATACACTACACACTGTGCAACCATCACATTATACATTATACCCAACACCAACTCTATACCCAACACGCTACACACAGTACCCAACACCAACTCTACAACCAACACATTATACCGTTATACCCAACACCAACTCTGTACCCAATACACTGCGCCCAACATTATATCCAACAACACTACAACCAACACATTATACCATTATAACCAACACACTATACCCATCACCAACTTTATACTCAACAGACTACACACTGTACCCAACACCGACTGTATACCCAACATACTACACACAAAACACGCTACAACCAACACACCATATCCAATGCACTACATGCTATACCCAACAAATTATAACCAACACTTTTGACCTAACAATTTCTACTCTGTACACTACATAGTATATCCAACATATTAAACCCAACGCACTATACCAAACCCTCTACACCCAAGACACTATATTCAGTACTACTATACCCAACACATTGTATCTAATTCATTATAACTAACACCCTACACCTAATGCACTGCATTCAGTACCCAAGATATACCCAGCATGACGTGACACACTACAATTTTCATCCAGGACACTACACCCAGCACTGCACACCCAAAACTATACCCAAACACCAAAATCAAATGTACACCCAACACACTATACTCAACGCTCTGTACCCAACAATCTACTTCCAGTACACACTCTACACAAAGCACATTCTACTCAACATTTTATAAACAAATTATGCCCAACACTCTACACCAGATAAACTATATGGACTGTGCCCAACAATCTACATCTAACAGACTCTCACCATGTCCAACAACTGATACAACTGAGCACACTATACCCAGCACACCACATTGAGAGAGTTTTGTTTTTAAAAAGTGTTGGCTTGTTGAACCAAGGCATCCACTTGCTGTGTTTAAACAGGATGAAGGTATGAGGCTCAGAACAGACTGGCCAGTTTAGGATGCCACAAATTGCCACAAGCTGGCTTGTCAAAAAACACAATTTCAATCTGGTTAACACAAGAAGCAAATTGTATCTGAGCTTTACAGCGTGCTGCCTAAGCCAATCTTTCCACTTCAATTACAGCTAAATAGAGCTAAAACTACGAAGGCATGCAGTGGCAGGCATTTTAAATGGGTTTGATTGTGAATAAACTGTATGCGATTTAGCGCTGATGGACACCTACTAACAGCTGATAAGGTCAGTCTGTTCGATAATCCAATTCAATTCAGTTTCCTCTCTGACCTGCATTGAGGTTTGCCTGCAGCGACAGTCAAGTCTGCCTCTCGAAGGCTGCGCTCTTCACTCTGAAATCTTCAGACGTTTAGGATTCTATAAGTTGCATGTGCACGTTCAACACACTAAACCCAACACATTATACCCAACACTCTACACCCAGCCATTATACCTAATATAGTACATACTTTGTCCAACACTCCATACCAACACAATATACGCAACACTCTGTACAACACACTGTACTTAAAATACCCCAAACTATGCCCAACATTCTCTAAAAACACGTTATACCCAACACACTGTACCTAACATTCTACACCCAATACGCAATACCAGTCCAATACATACTATGCCCAACTACAGCTAACACGCTATACCTAATACACTGCATACAATATCAACACACTGCACCTACCACACTGCTCCAAACACTTTATACCTAATGTGCTATACCCAAAACTCTACAACATAATATACCCAGTGCACTACATACTATGCCAAAAACTCTATAGCCAACACTCTATACCCAAAACTGTACACTACACCCAACACAATATACCAAACACTCTGCACCTAAGACACTACACTAAACTATGCGCAACACCATGCCAAGACTATACCCAACACGATATACCAAATACATCACATACACTACCAGCATACCATCTCCAACACATTATACCCAGCACACTATTACCCAGCACCTAATACACTACATACTATACATCATCTAAACCGCTTATCCTTCTGGGTCACGGAGGGGTGCTGGAGCCTATCCCAGCTGTCATTGGGCGGAAGGCAGGATACACCCTGGACAGGTCGCCAGTCCATCGCAGGGCAGACAGACATACATATACAATCACACACACATTCACACCTAGGGGCAATTCAGCATGTCCAGTTAGCCTGACTGCATGTTTTTGGACTGTGGGAGGAAACCGGAGTACCCGGAGGAAACCCACGCAGACACAGGGAGAACATGCAAACTCCACACAGAAATGACCCAGTCTCCCGGCCGGGAATCGAACCCAGGCCCTTCTTGCTGTGAGGCGACAGCGCTACCCACTGCGCCACCGTGCCGCCATACCCAGTGCACTATACCCCAAATTCTACAACCAACACACTGTATCTTATACACTGCATACTATTCACTCTACCAAACATTAAACACACCATATCCAAAACGCTACATAATATACCCAACACTCTACACCCAGCTTGCTATATCCTTAACACTGTATACTATACTCAACATATTATAGACAACACATTATATTCAATGCACTTTTACCAACACTCCAACCAATACGCTACATACTTTATCTGATACACTACAGTCTCAAATGTGGCCACTTTCAAAGCACTGATAGCTTAAATATGATTTTTGTTATTGTACTGTACTCATAGTATAAATATAGCTCAATTAACAGTCCATTTGTGGGTGATGTTGCAGCCACGGTGAAGCTGTTTATTTATTCGTTTTTGCTGATATCTGAGAGACAGTGTGGGCATGAGAGTGAAGACAAATGTGCTACTCCACTAGAGAGCCGGAGTGTTTTTTCACAGCCTGGCAAGAGTGAGCGTGACAGTGGAGAGAGAATGATGCTACTCTGAGGGTTTGTCCACTCTCTAAGAGCCGCAGAAGAAGAGGGATTGCCTGTGATTAAAAAATGGCCCTGGACTTTTTGGCCCAGACCGACCCAAAACAGTTGCCTGGATACCAAAAATCTTGTACCCAAATATGGTCAAATAGCTGGTCATTTGTCTATATTGCTAAACCCTCAACTCAGCCTTTAGCTGTGATTATGAACCTGGCTAAAGTTTTACTATTATAAAAGGATTAGTTTTATATGGTCAGGTGGTGTAATGTAATTTTACCCCAGAATGACAATAATGTTTATAACCGATTCCCATGGGATAAGAAAACTTGGTATAAGTGACAGAGGTGGGGGTGACTAGTGGATTTGCTCACTGCCATTATACCAGAAAAGCTCCATGCACATAAAACATGTCCAAACATTTAATTCGGTTGTAATTTAGTTCACACTAAATGTCTGCCTAGCTTTCTAAAGTGAATGCAGTGTGTCATTAGGATTGTCACTGACTTGGGAATTTACAGCCAACAATCAGTATCACTGCATAGACTCAAAAGTTTGGGAATAAGAATGAGAACTTTATTGTTTTCTTAATGCCAAGGTAGTGAAGTTGTTCACTTCCCACATGAGGTTTAATACTGCTTAGGCTAGCTCTACTAAACATGGACATTTAAAGCATTTGAGGCTGGTAACGTACACTCACGTGACATATTCTTCACTGTTTATGCTTCAGTTTTACAGCAAAAACAAACTGAATATTATGCATTGGAGGAAGCCTGTTAGCTGTCTGTCAAGATGTTCAGTCTGGACCTAGTTCAACAAAACTTGATATTTCATATACAGTTTTACTTCATATACATGAAACTTCTAACTACAAACATACACGTATTCATTAGATCCTGCTGGTGTGGGTTTCCTCTCTTTTAGTGATGCATGCAAAAATAGCTTTTTTGAAATGCATCTTCTATGCCTGCAAGTGCTTTCCTGTTCTGAATGGGAGCAATATATGTTGCAATGAAGTTGACTTAAGCAATTGTTAAGACATTTAAAACATATTTTAAATGTATACTATTGGACAGATACATATTTTGAGACATGTTTAGTACATATTTATATTGCTATATGAGTTATATTGCAACTAAAATGTACTAAAGCATATTTTAAAAGTCACCACTTTAAAATGTGCTTGTAAATAATACACTTAAGTTCATGACGACGAAATGAACTTTTGTTTAAATAGCTTCCATATGTTAATAAACAGATTTACTCAAGTAGTATATTGCCTTACAGCATAATAAAGTATGGCTTAAAATGTGTTACTTTAAAAATATACTTTTTGAAAAATACAGAAGACTTTAAGTATTCTCTATGAACTTCAAGTATATTAAGTACTATAAGGTACTAAGTACCACTGAGGTACTTAGGTATGCTTCTGTTTTTGCAAGAGTGGGACAGTGGAGTGGCCAAGTTCACAACCACGTAGAGCCCTGGGACATGAACCTACAACCTCTGGTTGTTGGCTTACTGCTCATATCACTAGGCTACCAACCACCCCCAAGTTAACCATAGTAACTGTTTTTTCGTAGCTAGACAACTACCCAAATGTGACTTTAATTATGTGGTCAGTTTCCATATTGATGAACCTTCTACTCAGCCTTTCGTTCTAACTAGTTAGCTGGTAGTTAGTGGACTTGGTATCTCTCTGTCTCCGACTCTGTGTAATGTAACATTAGCCATCAGTCTTTTACACTTCGCTGCTGTAGTAGTTTATACAAATTAATACTGATTTTTTTTTGTTTTGCATTTTACTGCTCGTGGCTCCAGTAATTAAATTTTTTTGTCATGTACTTTTGTCGTGAGTGTCTCTCCTCCTTCTGCTGCTCGTCAGAGTTTCTCTCGTCCTGCTGCTCCTCTCTCACTCCATAACAGCCTCCCTCACAGTGCACATCACTTCTTAAAGCCCGGTGGCCATGGCAACGGGGCGGACACACATGCACAGTTGGGCTTGGGGCCAGAGATGGGGAGATATTATATGAGACCACATGCCGTTTGTTCTCTAATGCACCATTACACACACAGGTCTCTAACGCTGAGTCATTTTGGACCAGAGTGGTGGATGAAACAGAGCAAAAGAGAAGTCATAGTGTAAATATGAGAATACTTTCTCTCTCTCTCTCTCTCTCTCTCACTCAGTGTGAGTGCTTACAATTTTATTTTCGCTGAAGTGATACAAAGATGCTGTACTGGCTGAAGTAGACCATTTGAAGAAGCATCCTATCATACAGTGCTGTGCAAGTCAGAAACCACTAATTTGTTTATTATCCAGTCTAAACTGAGTTTTATTTACTTTCATAGTGAGTTATTGCATATTCATAAAGGAAACTGGATGAGTTGCACTTCTACTGAATAACTGTACATGTGAGTCCTTTGCCATATTGTTGTTTCTAATTGACTTCATTGCATGCGAATTTGTGTGTTTAGATCCAGAAAAGACACTCCAGCAGCAGTATGGATGAGCGTCCGTCTCCGTCTCCCTCTGCAAGGGACTATGTGGAGTCACTGCACCAGAACTCCAGAGCCACGCTCCTTTTTGGCAAGAACAACGTGCTTGTACAGCCGGTAATGCAGAAACATTTGTCATTTAAACACAGTTACACCAGCACACGCATCACTCAGACACAGCTAAACCAGCTCAGCCAGCACTCAGACATAGTAACAGCGGAACATTAATTTCACAGGCACAGCTACACAAACACTGTCACTCAGACACAGTTACACCTACACTGTGTCACTCAGACACTGTTACGTCAACACATCCATCAATCAGACAGGGTTACACCAACATATCCATCAATCAGACTGTTACAACAAAAGATCAATCAAAACGACACAGTATTAAAAACATATTTGTCACTCAGACACAGTAGCACATATTACACATCCATTAATCAGACACAATTACACCACCACTGTCAGCCACTGATACACCAACACATCCATCAATCAGACACAGGTACACCAACACTGTCATGAACAGTTACACCAACAAATCCATCTTACAGTTATAACAAAACATCCATCAGTCAGACACATTTACACCAAAATATCCAACACTCAGACACGGTTACACCAGCACATCGATCAGTCAGACTCATTTACATCAGAATGTCCATCACTCAGACACAATTACACCAGCACAGTGTCACTCACACACAGTTACAACATAACATTCATCACTCAGACAAAGTTACACCAGTACTTTGTCATTCAGACACAGTTGCAACAAAACATCCATCACTCAGACACAGTAAGACCAACATGTTCATGACTCAGACACAGTTACACCAATACATCCACACAGTAAGACAACACAACCATCATTCAGACACAGTTACATCAGAACATCCATCTCACAGACACAGTTACACCAACACTGTTTCACCTAGACACTGTTATGTCAACACATCCATCAGTCAGTCAAGGTTACAACATATCAACCAATCAGACACAGATATACCAACACATTCATCAAGCAAACACGGTCCCATCAACACATCCATCAATCAGACTGTTACAACAAAACATCAATCAAAAAGACACAGTATTAAAAACATATTGGTCACTCAGATACAATTACAGTAACGCATCCGACAATCAGACACAGGTACAGCAACACTGTCAGGCACAGTTACACCAACACATCCATCAATCAGACACAGGTGCACCTGCACTATCAGACAAAGTTACACCAACACATTCATCAATCAGACACAGGTACACCAACACTATAAGACACAGTTACACCAACACATCCATCCATCAGACACAGGTGCACCAACACATCCATCCATCAGACACAGGTGCACCAACACATCTATCCATCAGACACAGTTACACCAACACATCCATCCATCAGACACAGGTGCACCAACACATCCATCCATCAGACACAGTTACACCAACACATCCATCCATCAGACACAGGTACACCAACACTGTCAGACACAGCAACACATCCATCAGTCAGATGGACATTTTTTACATCAAAATGTTCAGCACTCAGATACAGTTATACCAGCACAGTGTGACTCAGACACAGTTACAACAAAACATCCATCAATCAAACACAGTAAGGCCGACACACTTATCACTCAGACACAGTGACTCCAATACATCCATCATTCAGACACAGTAATACTAATACATTCACATTCACTTTTTTGACAACATCAACACCTTTATACAAATTAGCATCAGCATATATGATATAAAAATATAAAACACGTTGCTTAAAGCGCAGAATATCTCCATCAAACTCCAAACCACGCTCACATACATGAATCTGTACACTATTCACATAAAATCAGTCACACTGAATTAGTTCAACCACAAAACATCTGTCAGCCAAGCTCCATTCCTCTCTCCTGCACAGAACCATTAATAATGAAAGAGTGAACACGATGGTAAATGAGCATCTTTCAGTGCATCTCCATGCAGTACAAATGATGAATAATGAATGGCAGAACAGCTGCATCATTTATCCAGTGTTAACCTTAGAAAGGATGCAAAAGAAATGATTATACAACGTGTTGTGTGCTCTACATTTATTGGTTGCATAATTTTTCAACTCATTTGTTATTTGTACTGAATGCTCGTTTCAAGAAAGAAATGAGTCCTCAGTGTGTCTCAGAATTCAGGTTGCTGTCTTTTTCTCAGAGGGACGACATGGAGGCCATCCCAGGGTACCTCTCTCTGCACCAGACGGCCGATGCCATGACCCTGAAGTGGACGCCCAATCAGCTGATGAATGGCTCCATGGGAGACCTAGACTACGAGAAGAGGTGAGGTAGAATGGAAAGAAATACACTTTAACCATATCTTACCCAACATTTTGTCAGGGATGCATTCAAATTCAATCTTTGACTGTTTTTATTGTTGACCAAGTGAGAACACAATTCACATTGTTATGGAAATGACTAGTATTGATCTATTCTAGTTTTATTAGATCTTAGTGCAGCTTTTGATACTGTTGACCACAAGATTTTATGTCTTGAATGCTGGGTCGGCCTCTGGGTCGGCCTCTCGGGCACAATTTTAGAATGGTTTAAATCATATTTAGGTAATAGACTATTCATTGTTTAAGTTGGAAATCATTCAGCAAAAAGATTTGACATTTCTTGTGGAGTCCCTCAAGGTTCAGTCTTGGGGCCTTTGCTTTTCTCTTTGTAGATGCTACCTCTAGATGATGTCATTTGGAAGCATAATATAAATATTCATAGCTATGCTGATGACACCCAGTTATACATTTCTATTCCTTCTGAAGATCAAGACTATATAGACAGACTGATAAGCTGTGTGTCAGATATTTCTCAGTGAATGTCGCAGAATTTTCTATTAATCGTTGGTACAGAAACTCAGAGAAAAATGACTCTGAGCTCAGTTTTATCTATCTATTATTTATGTAAACAGTCCCTAAAGTAGCTTTTTATCATTTGAGAAATGTTCCGAGCGACGCAGAGAAACTTGTTTGTGCATTTGTTACAAGCAGAGTTGATCACTGTAATGATCTTCTTACTGGACTTCCTAAGAAAACAATACATCCCTTACAACTCGTACAAAATACAGCAGCATCCTAACAAAACCAAAACACCACTTACATTACAGAGTGTCTGTCTGTTTATGTTCCAGCTTGTAATCTAAGATCTGCAGATAGTGGCCTTAAATTGGGAAGTATATTCTGTGTTTGATTGTGAAAAACAAAATAAAAATCTATAAACTTTAGCTTGTTTAGATGAATCACTTTACATATCAAAATAAGTGCAACAGCATGATTAAGTCATTAAATTCATGATTTATGTTGGGCTGGGAACATTTATAGATGATTCATTTACAAATAATTATCAATAACGGCCTTAAAATCGCTATGTAGAAGTTTTCATTTTGTATGAATGGACCTTCTTTGCTCTGGTCTGCAGTCCGAAACTCCAGGCCTTGTTCGTTTACGTAAACAAGCAAGTTGCCCTGTTTGCCACTGGAGGGAAAATGTCAATGCTTAATTATAGTTGTTTAGTAGTGAGATCTTATGGATTTAATGCACTGAAACCTTCACATCAAGTCCAAGATGCCTTTTTATTTAACACTGGGAATGAAGCAGAGGGAGAAGAAATGAGTAGTAACAGCAACAAAGTTTTGATTTTCTTTTAGCTATTGCGACTAACAGACAAATGCAGTGTGTAACAGCCCATTCTGCTAAAGAAGTTCTCTTTTGTTCTTTTTTTCTCTGTCAAACTGCGAAGTATTTACATCTTATTCATGAAAGATTGCATGCTTGCATCTCTCTTTTTGATCTACACACGCAAAGCAGCTGGTGGACACTATGAGATTTAATCAGTCAGTTAGATAAGCCAACAGGTTGAGGTCAGGATGGAGCCAAACTGGGATTCTTCAGCAAAGGATTGTTCAAGTGCTCATATGCTGAGAAATTGATATGAATCAGATGAGAAAATGATCTAGTCCTGGCTAATGTTATTGATACCATGATCTGGTCTCTGATCTGATGTTCTTGTAATGTAATCTCATCTGGCGTTATTGATAGTGTCATCTGTTTTGCTGCAGTGTCTATTGGGACTATGCTATGACCATTCGCCTGGAAGAGATTGTGTATTTGCACTGTCATCAGCAGGGTAAGTTGCAGCAAATTATCATATTATACCAACTCAGGAGATGACCAGTTCAGTCAAACTGAGCCCTTGTTATTGCTTGGTGTCTTCTGGTCAAGGTCAGGTTAAAGGGGCATTCTGGCCTAAACGTAATATCTTATTTGTCATATTATATTTCATTCTGTAGTGCAGCTTTGCATCCATCGGCCTTAGCATATTGTCTAAATTAATGACTTTGTATCTGTTTACGGTGTACTCTCACTACAGTACCCAGCATGCATTCTGCAAATACATCTTACAACCATCCTTTTTTCCATGGTGATAAAGAAATCCAGCGATATATAGGCTAATAAATAAAGATGTGATGTTCTACTTCCTAGTTGTATCATTAGCTATCTGATATTAGCCAGGTAACGCCCTCAAAGCAGTTGGCCCAATCCCATTTCATCCTTCACCCCTTCCACTTAGCCCTTCGTTTTGCACGTTCATGTCTTGGGGTAGGGTGTCCCAATGTTTGTTGGGATAGAGGGGTAGGGTGAAGTGTTAGGGCTACATGGCCCTCCAAATGGAGGTTTTTCAGAGACTCCAAACTGAGTGTTATGAGAAAAAAAAAACTGGAAGATGGCTGCGCGAGCGACCAAAGAAACACAAATGTGAGAACTTTCTCTGTTAAAAATTACGATAACCATCCTATTATCTTTGTATGTATTATGATCCTTTTCTTAATAACGAGTTAAAAAGCGCCAACAGTATGCTAATGTCTCTGTAGCTAGCTAGCTAAATTTCCTGTTCCACCTTAAATAGTCCAGCAGTTCTGACGGCAGAAGTGCCAGAATGTAACTGCTGCATGATTTAAGGTGGAACGGAATAATTCGAACGAGAAGCTGGTGAATAATTGTCTTCAGCTTCATATCACTGAAGAATTAGTAATAAATAGTTGCTCCCCCCTTTGAAGGCCTACGATGCCCCCTAAAAGTAACTAAAGCCCAGCAGTGAGGAGCTGAACTTTACCCTCCTCGGCTTTTGCTGCAGACTGGCAGGGTCGCCTACAGAGCAGCACTAGTAGCTGTTAATGAAGTAATGCTCTTTTTATTTGAGGGTCCCATTTCTTTGGGAAGATTTCCACCACTACCCTTTGTAACTCAGTTCCAAGGGGCAAGGTGACACTCGAAAACAAGGGGTTGGGGTAAAAACAAGAAATGGGATTGGACCGTAGACCTCTAGAGACGACTACAGAACCGCTATATAGGGCGAGTAGGCATATCTACAGCAGACGTAGCAGTGGTTCCATTTTTCTTTTTGGCCGGAGTGCCCCTGTAATAGTAACACCAAGTACAGTTAGTGTGAAGTCTGTAGAAAAAATAAAACCCAAATAAACCTCTTTAGCTTTAAAGCATTTCTAAAGGATTCACATATAACCCGGAGGAGCAGGAGATTTATGAATTAAGCTGTGTCGGCTTAATGAAACCCCTCGAGTCGCTCTCAGATTCACAGCTTTAAAACCTCAATTATCACTTTTCTTATTCCACGCGGCCAAACAGAGCAGGCAGCTACTGCACTCAGAGAGCTATCACAGTGCATTTAGAGCGTATGAAGCCACTTTTCTCGGATTAGGAAATGAAAAATATTTGGACAGAATTAGATTTGTTAACAGCGCTGTAAAGAAGAAGAGGGTTTGGGTTTGATTTGCCTAATGTTAGTCAGTTTTAGCATCTGCTTATTTTTTACTGTTTTGGGCTTTTGTTTAGGTGTATAATGGAAGTGAACTGTCTGTTTTATGCATTTAGTAAAGAATTAAACACAAGAACCTCTGAATACATCTGACATTTAGCTCAAATTAGACCAAAATAGTGATTTTTTTGGAAACAAGCTGCAAAAGAAAGTAGTCATGGCACATTTTGAGAGTCATAGTTGAAACATATACTGAAAACTGATTTAAATATGCTGATTATATTGAAAATACTGAATATTTTCTGTACTTTATAAAGTATTCTTTATTCTTATTGAATTATTTTTTAAATGTAATTTGTGCAGTAAAAACTGCCGTATGTGGCGATATGAAAATATGTTCATGGTTGTGACATCACAACCATGACCAACTGAAGATGTTACATTTTTGTTTCCCCCTGAAATCCACTTAATAACATTTGTGTAGGCCATTTATGGCGATATGAAAATCTGTTCATGGTTGTGACATCATAACCATGGCAAACTTGCTATATTTAACTTCTGTTCTACCCCGGAAGCCCACTGGAACCCAGCCATGAGATAATAACTTGAGATATTAAACTTTCGTTTCTCCTTGAAACCCACTTTATGATATTTGTGCCGCAAAAACTGATGTAGGCCATTTGTGTTGAAATGTAAATGTGTTCATGGTTATGACATCACAACCATGACAGAATTAAGATGTTTCATTGCTCTCTGAAGCCCATTGTATGTGTTTTATATGTTCATGTGTTTAATGAGGCAGTGAGCTGAAGTCTTCAGTGTTTTGGCCCGCGAGGACTGGATCCGGACACATGTGCTTTAAGTTAATAGTCAATGCTAGTTGAACCTGCTGATGGAGATCTTTAGGCTGAGGATAGTAACAAAGAATCAAGTTGAAACCAACCGCATTTCAGCCAAGTGGGCTTGAGAGATTAAATACTCGTCTGATCTCCTGAAATGAAACAGATGTTGAATGATGCATATTGTGTTCATGTTTGCAGTGGACAGTGGCGGGACGGTGGTGCTGGTCAGTCAGGACGGTATCCAGAGGCCTCCACTGCGTTTCCCACGAGGCGGGCACCTCCTGCAGTTCCTCTCATGTTTAGAGAACGGCCTGCTGCCTCACGGCCAGCTGGACCCTCCGCTGTGGTCTCAAAGAGGGAAGGTCAGTCTATCGCAGTGCTAGCAGTTAGTTTCTAGCTAATTTTGTTGCTTTTATGTTTTGATTCACAAAAGTTAGAAAATTAGCTGCTTTTTTATAAACCTTGACTCACACAGCCACTTGCTACTGTGTTTTAGCTTAGCATTGCAATGTGATATCATTGGGCTGGGAGATTTTATGGACAAGTCATTTTAGAAAAGTATCAGATTAGTTATATTTTTTCAACCATGCATCACTTCTGCCAATACATACATACATACATACATCATTTAAACCGCTTATCCTTCTGGGTCGCGGTGGGGTGCTGGAGCCTATCCCAGCTGTCATTGGGCGGAAGGCAGGATACACCCTGGACAGGTCGCCAGTCCATCGCAGGGCAGACAGACAGACATACATATACAATCACACACACATTCACACCTAGGGGCAATTCAGCATGTCCAATTAGCCTGACTACATGTTTTTGGACTATGGGAGGAAACCGGAGTACCCGGAGGAAACCCACGCAGACTCTGCCAATACAGTGACCTACAAATATCCTGTAATAATTGAAGGTACTGTTTACAGTAAGTATAGTAATGTGGAAGATATGGGTGTAACGATACACACATTTCACAATATAATACATATTTTCATTTCTGCATCTCGACAACTGAATAGAGGTGCAAATCAGCAGCTGTTAACGTTCCTACAGAGCAAGTCACTCACCCCTTTCAGCATTGGCACTTAGCGACTGCTTGAGAACTCGCGTTTTCTCTAAGAGGCTGAAGTCAGCTCCCTACTCACCAGCTTCTTATTCAAATGTTTCATTGCACCTCAAATGGACCATCAGTAACATTTGAGTGGTGGTGTGTGGGTAAACGTGGCCAAATCGCTTGCATTCTATTACGTCTTTTGCTCTTTACAGAAAGCTGAGATTTGCCTTTGAGCTACCAGAATGGGACTGAAGCTGTGTCCATTACATTTTGTACATAATTAAAATCACTTCTCTGCTCTCACATTTGCATTTAAAGATTAGCAAATTGCACTCCGCTAATGAATTCTGTTGCGTATGAAAATGCCTTTAGGGGTCAGAGTAGTTAGGCCATTAAACATCTTTGGGTCGTTAGAACTCTAAATTATGTTCCAGAACACATTTCGGCTCACGTTACCGGACTTCAGTTCTGGGCTGCTTTTGCTGAACTGATGTGATGAGTTGTTTTTTTCTAACAGGGAAAAGTGTTTCCTAAGCTGAAGAAGAGAGGGCCTCAGGGATCCATGGACTCCGTCTCAGACAAGGAGGAGGACGAGGCCACCGATTACGTCTTCCGCATTGTCTTCCCCAACAGCCAGTCTGAGTTCGGTAAGCTTGGAGATGAATGAATAAGTGTATTTGAGTATGGATGAGTGAGAGGAGTGCACCGATATTTCACTTTCGGTTGTCATCAGAAAGAGAAAAAGGGCAAAATTTTAGTCAAGGAAATCAAACAGGTCTACAATGAAGTGTCAAAAACACTAAACATATAATTTCAATGATGATACAAATGAGAAACAGCGATTAAAACGCTGTTTGTTTCCTCTATTCTCCTGCGCTGATCAGCGTAGACATGTTCAAACAGTTTGCGCTGCAGCAGATCAACAGTGAAACTCAAATATGGTCCACTGTTCTGTACAGTATTTAACTTACATGCTGTTCAGCGTGAACCGATTTATGAACTGATTTATCTTCAGTGGAAATCAGATAAATAACACAGAGTAACTCAATTTCTTTTGGTAATAATCTCTTGCTTTGCAAGTTGTTACTGTAAACGTGTGTAGGCTGGATCCTGCTGTTTCTGGTTGTTTCTTCTCTTTAGCGCCCCCTGCAGGAGAAACTTCAGACTGCTAGATGGGAGTTCTTTACTGTTATAGTAGAGGTGCTGGAATTCAGCGTGGAAAACTATGGACTTATGTATTTGTATAAATGTACAACTTTTAACATTTAATATTAGTTATCTAGCTGTTGTTTAATGAAATTAGTCCTCTAGTCTCTCAGTTCTCCTTCCATACATGGCGATTATCACCTTTGAAGCATTGTCAGTGTTATTATATTAATGCAAAAGCATAAATAAAACAGCAAATTATGTGTAAAAGAACTTTTTTTGGTCTCCATTTCGGTGCATCACTGTACAGTAGTTAATAAACGTGTATCACTTGTTTAAAGTGATAGCAAGAAAAATGTTTCTCCATGAACCAGATTTTAGACCAGCCAGGTCATGTTTGGTGTCTGAGGTTTGCGTCTTTAGTTTTAACACTAGAGCTACGAGACTGATGTAGCTAAAAAGTAATGGAACCTTGTAGCAGTCAAGTTAGCATGGTGCTAACTACATACTTAAATCTGCTTCAGACTCTGTGTTGTTCAATGATCTCTAATAGACTTGATTATGTGGTTTCTGACACCATATAACACTAATATCTATAAACATGAACTAAAGTATGAAAATAAAAAAATCAGGCTTCAGAATACTGATACTGTTTTAGCTGTGCCTTTGGATTTTCTGTCATTCTAGCTATAATTAAGCGATTCTAGTTATTTTTCTTATTTATATGTATTTATATGTATTTCAGATATAAACCACATCAGTCCTCCTTTTCATTTTTATGGCAGTTCCACCCCTCATTATTGATGTATTAATTCCAGTGGCTGTGACCCAGTCCTCGAACCCACTGGGGGGCACTACCCTGCTGTCCCGCTCGTCCTCCCTGTTCCCAGCCATCGGGAGGCAGCAGAGCCCCAGGCTGCAGACTGTAGTGGTGCCCAAACGCTGCTGCAGCTTCCCAAATGAGCCCTCGTCGCCCACTGGGTCGCCAGCAGGGTCGCCCTCCTCGCCCAACTGTAACGTTTCCCCTCCCTGATGCTCTTTTCTTTGCTAAAGCTCACTTCTGCTGGGACGAGGGGCTTCTTTTCCTTTCTTCAATTTCAGTGACCCTCAGTTGAGCCTGGTTACTGGCGGCCTACTCAACAAACTTCTGCGAGGCTAAAACCATGTCTAGGTCTCAAATGCTAACTCAGTACTATACTGATGAAGAGTTTTCCTTGAATTCTCTTTCAGCTCGCAGTCATCAGATTCATCTGCCTGGGGAAGGGGTCCAAACACCCAACCCACGTTTGCATGCAATTACACATTTCCCCCAGAGAGGTCTCCAAATCCCCAAGTCTTACATGGTGCAGCTTTAAATGATCATGAACAGCTGTTTGACCAATCAGGGCCAAGCTTCTGACCAACCAGGGACAGCCTTCTGGTGGGTGGTGGATCCCCCGGTTGTTTTCAAGACATCTGTAGTGTCAATCACATGAAAAATAAGTTTTTTAGCAAAGAAAACATGGATATCAAAAAACAATTAATAGCATTATTGCTTTAATAAGCACAAATGCTTTTTACTGTTGTAAATGCCATACTGTCTACATATTTAGATAGTGTACATTTTTATAACTGTCTGTGAGGGAGCTTTTAGAGGTGGACGTCTGGTTCCTGTCACCACCACTGTGAACAATTCTGACTCTTTATGTTTCTCTAGAACAGAGCATTCGCGCCAAACCACTCTGAATGACTCTGTTTATATCTTAACTGTTTATGCTGATTTTAAAAAAAGAAAAATGGTGGAATTCCAATTTAACCAATAGTATGATAGTGCCTAGTGCTAATATTAGAAACATAGGCTTATAAAAGCAATATGTACAATGATCATGTCTTAAATTATCTGGTAAACACACACAGCAGGCCTTGAACACAAAACATTCAAAATATATTATAAAATAAAGTTAACAGATTAAAGGCTTTTGAAGACAATATCACTTAATGATTAAGTTTGCCCACCAGACTTTGCTCACATTGTGGGAACCTCTGGTCCAATTAAACCTGACCCACAGTATGGTAAAGATACGCTGTGTCATTAGCCAACCAACTGTTATTAAGCGCATTGCTTTTGTGCAGAAGTTTGTTGGCCCTTTGTTGAAATCATTGAAACCACTGAAGATCACCTGAATCAGAACAATCATTGTCACCAATCGTATCTTGATTTTTTCAGATCGGGCTGAATAATTCGGGTTTGATTAAGTCTGATCGTCCGTCTTTCTGCTTTGGTGCTGTGGTGCTCTGCACTGAAGCCTATAATCCATCGACCATGTTTCGTTGTGTCTGTTTCAGCCGCTCCAGAGTTGTTGGAGCAGGGGGCGAACATGTGGCAGCCCAGAAAGTCCTCCTGCTCGTCCTGCTCTCAGGGCAGCTTCTCCGACGGAGCGCCCCCTAATGGCTGCAACCACGAGAGGTCAGCTCACTTTGTTACTCTCCCGATAGACAATGCACCTGACTAGCTCAAACACATTAGTAAGGACACCTATTCCAATATTTAACTCTGGTTCTAACTCTAAAAAATGGATATTACTTGGATGTTTTGGACAGTAATGATATTCTGTTAAAAAACTGACATACTTATGTCGATATCAACGTACACCGGTCAGGCATAACATTATGACCACCTCCTTGTTTCTATGCTCATTGTCCATTTTATCAGCTCCACTTACTATATAGGTGCACTTTGTAGTTCTACAATTACAGACTGTAGTCCATCTGTTTCTCTGCATACTTTGTTAGCCCTCTTTTACCCTGTTCTTCAGTGGTCAGGACCCCCATGGACCCTCACAGAGCAGGTACTATTTGGGTGGTGGATCATTCTCAGCATCGCAGTAACACTGATCTGGTGGTGGTGTGTTAGTGTGTGTTGTGCTGGTACGAGTGGATCAGAAACAGCAGTGCTGCTGGAGTCTTTAAACACTGTGTCCACTCACTGTCCACTCTATTAGACACTCCTACCTTGTCAGTCCACTTTGTAGATGTAAAATTGGAGACGACAGCTCATCTGCTGCTGCACAGTTTGTGTTGGTCATCCTCTAGTCCTTCATCAGTGGTCACAGGACACTGTTGGCTGGATATTTTTGGTTGGTGGACTATTCTCAGTCCAGCAGCGACATTGAGGTGTTTAAAAACTCCAGCAGCACTGCTACAGTCTGCAATTGTAGAACTGCAAAGTGCACCTACATAGTAAGTGGAGCTGATAAAATGGACAATAAGCGTAGAAACAAGGAGGTGGTCATAATGTTATGCCTGACCGGTGTATGCAAGAGGAAAAACAAAAGTTTGAGAATTGTTTTTTTACATTAACTTTGGCCAGTTGTACCTCCTTCGCCTCGGATGATGATGATTATGGTCTCAACTACAAAATATTCTGGAATAAAGTTGGACGCTAAATAAGCGAACCTGCTGTTGTCTTTTACAGAGCCCCTCTGAAGCTCCTCTGTGACAACATGAAGAATCAGATCATCTCCAGAGCATTCTATGGATGTGCGTGAGGCTCCTACTGAACAGACTCTGTAAACTAAACTGTTTGGCTGAATTACAATCAGTTAAGCTCTAAAGCTGTTTCTGTTGGTAAAGCTTTAATAGCATCCATCGTGGTATTAATAAGACTATGAGGTTTAAACGATGGTATTAATATTTGCCTATGTCTGTGTATGTGTTGTTTAGGGCTGGCGTACTGCCGTCACCTGTCCACCGTGCGTATCCACCTGTCCGCTCTGGTCAACCACACCATCGTGGAGCCTGATGTGCCGAGTGATGCGTACGGAGGTCTAACCGCAGAAGTGTGGAACAGATTCCTGCAGGACTGCCGCGTATGTACACCAGAGTTATTAACCATCACAAAAGCAAGAACTAGCAGCGGAAAACTGTATTTGTTAACTGTAAAAAAGGAAAAACTACTACAGTTGTGTGCAAAAGTTTGGGCGCCCCGGTGTAAAGATTTTCTAACGATTTTCTAAGTGAAAGTAAGTTAACACGTCCTTTAAAGAGAACACACTTTAATGCACAATTTTTAACACACAATTACTATTTATTTGGAAAAAAAATTATATTTAGTTTTTTTTTTTGCACCATGTTAAACTCAGCGAGGAAATAGAAATTATGTGGAAAAATTAGCAGACAATGTCCTGTTTAAGTTTATTGTTGTAAGTCCCTTATAGAGGAGATGTTAAAGCTACACTATGTAAGATTTGGGGATTTGGAGACCTCTGTGGTGGGAATGTGTAATTGCATGATATTGCATTTTATTATAGCTATGTAAGTGGACAAATAAGATAAGTCGATAACAAAAATGTCGAAAGAATAGCATTTTCTTATTCAAGTCACGTTTAGTATGTAACGACTTTTAGAAACAAATTTCCAAGCATTTAATCAGAAGCTTTTAGGTCAAAATGTCATTAAATGACCAAAGTCCTACATTATTGTTGTATTTCATTATTGTTGTATTTCGAGTTTTTAAGGTTTTATGTACCAAAAACAGTCATAATTCATTTTACTGCACCATTTTCCAACCTCTTTACGAATTAACAGGCTGTTTTTGTTACTGTACCTTTAAGTCTGATATATGTAAATGAGCTCTGTTCTGATTGGCCGTCCTGTATCATGTCTCATTCAAAAAGCACTCAGTTCAAACTCTCCTTATAACTTCAGTGTTAATGGGCAGGACTAAACTTCTGTAAACTGAATAGATGGATATATGGAAATGGTTTTTGTGACATCACAAAAGCAGTGAATTAAAAATGTGATGTTTTTATAGTTTCGTTTCCATATATGGACTGAATGGACTGGGGAGTGATTATTTTACAACAGTGTATATACAACAGTGTATATACAACAGTGTATAGACAGTGTATAGACTCTTTTATTTTATAAGGTAGATGATAATTTGACCCGCCCACTCTCACCACCCCTCGATGCTAGCCAATGGAATTAGCATGTAGCATTCTCCTCTAAGCGTGTTGATTAAGATTAAGATTAAGTGACCCTTATTAGTCCCACAACGGGGAAATTTCACCTCCACATTTAACCCATTCGTGCTGTGAAACACCACATACACACTAGTGAACACACACACTAGGGGGCAGAGAGCACAATTGCCCGGAGTGGTGGGCAGCCCTATCCACAGCGCCCGGGGAGCATTTGGGTTCGTTAGGTGCTTTGTCACTTTAGGCACGTTAGGCACTTTAGTCACATACTGTCGGCTCAGGGGATCGAATTGGCGACCTTCCGGTCACAAGGCTGGTTCCCTAACCTCCAGCCCAAGACTGCCCCCAAAAAGTCCAAAAAGAGTCCATTCATTTATATATTGAGTAGCGTACAAACTATCACGTAAAAAAGTCAAAGCTATACACTCAAAAATACTTTTTTTCAAACTTTCATGCATCCACACTTTCATAGTATCTGACGTCCGTCACTCAAACTGATCTGTTTATCAGCGTCGACATTGATCCACCACTCCGGACCCCTGGGATCTGCTCGTGCGCCTCTCATGCATATTCATTATCCTCTAAACACATCAGCACGATTAGTCACACTCACAATATGCGTAGATGACTAATGCGGAGCCGCCGGGCCTGAAAGTGCCGTCTCATCACAGCAGACATCGTTTATAAAGTGTTCCAAATAATGCCAAACAAAGCGAATCTTTCAAACCTCGCTCTGTCACTCATCCCTTTATTCTGCTCCACAAAAAGCTCTTTATTCGTTTGTTGTCAGGTTCCTTGAGGCTTTCTGAGTCACGCTGACTGTGGAGCGTATGAGTGATGAGCCGAGACCACCTGCAAGTTTGAGACCCCGCTAATGCTAATGCTAACGTTTTGCAGCTTCGCTAATGTAGTTCCTAATTCAGCAAACTAGGCAGGAGTCACGGTTCTTTTCAGGTGGAGCGTCTGAGTGATGAGCTGAGACCACCCGCAAGTGTCAGACCTTGCTGTTGTTAAGGCTAACGCTAATTTTTGCAGCTTTGCTAATACAGTTCCTAATTCATGCTTACGGTTGTGTTCAGCAAGTTTAAGACCTCACCAGTGCTAATGGTTTGCGACTTTGCTAATAATGCTAGTTCTCCAGACTAGGGGTGGGAGTTACAGTTCTGTTCAGCTGGAGTGTGTGAGTGATTAGCTGAGACCACTCGCAAGTTTAAGACCTTGCTAATGCTAATGCATAATGCTTTGCAGCTTTCCAGTTCCTAAAACTAGGGGTGGGAGTTACAGTTATATTCAACTGGAGTGTACGAGTGATGGACCACCTATGCAAAGTTTACAGCTTTGCTAATGCTAACACTGCCACCTAAAGCAAGCCACAAGTTTGATAGCTTGCTGATGCTAATGCTTCCTCAAGTTAGTTTATGTATTATTCTATGTGGTGATTTCTAGACTACTTGATGTGCACATTTCTAGACCATTTCTGGACAGCTCTGTGCGCTTAGAAGAGGAAGCTAACTGCTAGTTCCGTTCCATCAGCTAATAAATACCCTTTTGGCTAGCATCGATCATGTCATTTCTTTTGAGAAGTCTTTGTTTTATTCGATGACTATAATTACAATAATGCTTGCGTCTGTGGGAATCAGTATATAACATTAGCAGGAAGCTAACTGAGATGTTTCACTTCACACGATTTACAGCAGCTCTACATAAATGAGGATATTCGGAGCTGGTCAGACAGGCATGTAACATATTCTTTACTTTGTTTTGCAGTTTTTACTCAATTCTTCAACAAATATGTACTTAAAGCCTTCTCCTCAGTGTTATTGATAGAGCTTCTTAGCCTGTTAGCTGTCTGAACTGCCTGCAGAGAGCTTTAAACCAAACTACATTCATACACAGGTTTAATTTAGCATGTTTCTGTTGTACTTCATATCCGTTTGTGAGTGCAAACATATGTCACGTGCATTCCTGCATTCACTGCACACTCTTGTAAAACCTGATTTAAAGATTATATGTTACATCTCCAGTTTGTTTGGGAATATGCTTCTGTATTTTGTCTATAGACAAGCTTTCATTTTTCAGTGTAGAGAGGGCCACTGTTACAGCCAAGTGGCTTCCTTTTGCACTGTGATTTCATCACCAGTCTAGTTGTTATGTACTTTATTGGTCCTACAAGGGAAATTTGTCATTTTGCTGCCTCACTACGCCCAACCTGGGAGCAGCACAGCATCACCAGCAGAGCAGCGCCCCCTTGGGCAGTGGGAGTTAAGTGCCTTGCCCAAGGGCACAACCTGGTATACCGAGTCAGTCGTGGGAGTTGAACCTGCAACTTTCCGGTTGATGGCTCACCTCTCCTGCCATTACCTACTGGCGACCATATAGGTCTCTCTTTGATCTTACACTGTGCTCCACTGCAGGCTTATGATGAGAAGGAGCTGCTAAGGCTGGTGTACTTTGGAGGTGTAGAGCCTTCTCTGCGTAAGGAAGTCTGGCCCTTCCTCCTGGGCCACTACCAGTTTGGGATGTCTGAGAGCGAGAGAAAGGAGGTCAGTGTCTGGTTCTCAGGTTCTTTCCCTTAATTCAGCACACTTTACTAAAGCCACAGTCCAGCTGCAGTCAGTCATACCAACGTTCAGATGTTTGTGAAGACCTTAATTAGCTGGAGCTCTTCAGAAGGATCAGGATATTAGGATGGTCAGATGTCATAGTCCAGCTAACACAAACAAGCACTGGCCAGTTTAATAGAACACCATAGCTTGTACATCTTGCTGGTGTACAGTTAGAGACTATAACATATATAATAATATCTGGTCAACAGTAGTGCTGTGCTCAGAAACTGGCCAGTGATAAATGGGATAAAGGGGGGCCTGATAAACTGGAATAACTGGAATTGTCTGTACATATGAAGTAAAGAAAAAAGCAAACCAAGAGGCCCTAAACATTGTATGAAATGTGCTTTAATTTTGGCAAATTCTTCCACCACAAAAAGTAGTACGTTAAAGATAGAGCCTTAAACTGTCTCAATATCAGGTTCAGCTCAGCTTTTTCAGCATTCGCCAGATGAACCTGAATGTGGTTTTGTTCCAGTCAGTCTGTAAAGCATTTCACATTCATTTTGTTTGCTGAATTGCATTCTGTTCTGTTTATGGCTGGTTTGTTTAGTTTTTCCATCACAGCTGCCGACCGAAAAGCTCGCTTAGGAGCAACGGAGCATTCAGGGTCTTCTTCAGAATCTGACCAAATGGTCTTCAGGTCATATCTTGTAGAAGATATGTATCAATGACATATTGCAGTATATTCCATTCTCATATTGGCCTAGAATAAACTTCAAAGTAAGTGAACTTGGAAAAGTGGCCAGTGAGAGGAAGTACAGGTTTAAATAAAGCAGATACAGAGTTTATAGTGAAATAGTGTCCAGCTTTGAACTTGACCTATGAGGCTTTAACCATTTGATCACCAAGTCCACTTAAAATACTCAACTCAGAGGTGGCTTTGACCTCCTGCAGGTGGATGAGCAGGTGCGGGCATGCTACGAGCAGACAATGAGTGAGTGGTTAGGCTGCGAGGCCATCGTCCGGCAGAGAGAGAAAGAGCAGCATGCCGTCGCCCTGGCCAAGTGCTCGTCTGGGGCCAGCATAGACAGCAGCAGTCAGAGGATGCTCCACCGCGACTCAACCATCAGCAATGAGGTAACCAAATATGTCTAATTACTTTGCAGGTATCGATCAAGACGCAATGAACCATTATAACCGGTTTTCAAACATCCCCAAACTGTACTGAACACAATGCATCATGAATGGCACCTGGGTGAAGCTGTTATTATTTATTGGTCGTTTCTAGGCCTGTGCATGGTGATGGTTAACCAAGTTACCAGGTCCCCAGTGACCATTCCATCACTTAAACATAACTGAACTTTTAAACATGTGGGGTGATGTGATATCCTACATTAATATCACATTTATTATGTCTCAGATTGTTCTAGAAATGTGGCTGTACTGGCTAAGCTTGGTACTGCAGGCAGATATCATGCCTTCACCAAAAGCCGGCTTTGTTATGGTGTACGTTTTAGAACATACTCAAACCACAATGTCACGTTTCAGACAAAAAAAAAAAACAAAAAATCCCAGCATATTGTGCTGACACCTCGTGGCTAAACATTGGCTTACACTCTCTGCTGTAGATTTTCTCTTTTATTTCTGGTAATGCTGCATTATTCATATGGGGCTTGTCATTTTATCCCTTTGTCTTCAGTCTTCTCAGAGCTGTAGTTCAGACAGACAGAGAGATGCTCGCCTACAGAGTGACTCCAGTAGCAGCACACAGGTAAATCATGAACAGTACACCTGTGTAACACATGGGAACTGTAAAACACAATAACACAACTCAGTTAACACAGGTAGACTCACACTACACATTCCACACACAGGTGACGGACAGCGCTCATAACACCTACACTTCACATGGTTAGTGTGTAGTGTTACTAGTCTAAGGTAAATCTCACATATGCAAAAATTAACATTTTTAAAAAGTACATTTTGTAGGTTTAAGTAAGATTTAAAGTTAAATTTTGCATGTAATTAATGTGTGCCACAGTAATAGTGCTACTTCTAAACAGGCGTTCCCTACCCCTACACTGTCCCTGCTAGTTTTTCACTTCCCTGAGCCCCTTCCCCTGGAGTAGTCGGCTTCCCTTTGGCCTCTTCTTCCAGGTGTTCGAGTCTGTCGAGGATGTTGACCAGATCGAGACTGAGCCCAAAAGCGAGGAAGCCAAACGTGTCCATAAAGTCTCTAACGGGGCACCACACAATGGCAGTGCTTCGCCTGACTCAGGACACCCCTCTTCTAGAAACTTCTCAGTGGCCTCAGGGCACTCAGATTCGCTCAGCACGGAAGACAGCGGGGTGCAGGAGTTGAATGCCAAAGCTTCCGGCCAAACACAGCCAGCCCCAACCGCAAGCCAAACTGTAGCATTAGATACTGATAGTAATCGAAGCCAGGGTAGCCAAATGAAAGGAGCCAACGGGTCTGAGGTGGATGAGGCATTGCAGCAAGGTTCAGATAAGGAGAGTACAGAGAAAACTGATGGTTCCTTAAAGGACAAGGAGGGGAAGGTGTCAGGGTCTGCAGGAGTTGACACTGAAAAACTAGACAATGGTGAAGCGTCTCAAATGGAGGACACTAGATGTCTAGATGAACGGTCAAGAGCCAGTATAGCAGGAACAGAAGCAGAAAGAGCATCTAAATCACAGCTTGCAACAGAAGAGAGAGAGAAGTCCAGAGTTGTCAAGGCTTCAGATGCATTGGAGGAAAAGATGCTGACATCTTCAGCAGAGAAAGAAGAGGCATCAAAAGACTCAGAGACGGTCAAGATGCCTCTAGAACCAACTCCAGAGTCCCAAAAGGATGTCACATCAAAGAAAATGCTAGCATCAGAAGCAGAAATGGCTAGACTGCATCAAATGGGCGCAAGACCAAAAATGGAAGAAGCTCGGCGAGTAAGGAAAGAGGAGTCCAGTGTTAAAGAGGTGCCAAAGGAGGAGGCCAGCCGCAAGAAAGCAGTGATGCAGAGCCCCCCCGTGGTGGAGGAGACTGTGGTGCCAGTTGTGTTTGAAGCATTCAGTACACGTAAAATGAGCGAAACGCCATCGGATGAGTCTCCCTCAGCCATCGAGATGGAGGAGATCCCTTCGGCCAGGGTTTCTGTAGCCTGGGACAGACAGCCTCGCACCCAGGGCAAATCTGCCACTGTGCCTGTGTTGGACCTCAGAGCGGATGGAGGAGGCTCTCAAGGCAGCCCTGAAGGCACTGAGTCTGTCCTGTCAGATGAGCCTCAGATGGAGAGTCTCTACCCACAGTTTGATTCACTCGCTGTAACAGGAGACAAAAACGGAGCCACATCACCAGTGTCCTCCATAGGGACCACTTACTCGGTATGCATACAAAGCAGACTTTGTTTTATTGGTCAAATTAGGTGTCACTTGCTAGAAATTAGTCTTGGTAGGAGGACAAAGTAAAATTAACAAATTAAGGCCAGTTTTCTTGGCCTACATTAGACCTAAGACTGGAGTAAAAAGGATTTTCAGTGATGAATCATAATTGGCCTTGCAGTTTAGTCTAAGATCAGACGTGATTCAAGTATGGCTGTGTGGAATAGAGGAGTTGAGAAAATAATGATAAGAAATTCTAAAAATGTCTTTAAGTTTCAGTAAAAGTGTCTTTAAGTTTCAGTCAGGTGTGCCTTTGACACTGTACTGTATGTTTGGGTCGCTTTGCATTTGCAGCAGGAGCTGCTGGACATGTACACTCTCAACTTGCACCGTATTGAGAAGGACGTGCAGAGGTGTGACAGGAACTACTGGTACTTCACCCCAGCTAACCTGGAGAAGCTCCGCAACATCATGTGCAGGTGGGTGGTGAATGTCATCATTCAGTTGCGTCCTTTTTTTACTTATAGACTGCTATTACTGTACTTGTTCTTCTCACATGCCCACCTCTAAAAAACACTGATGCATTAGTGTTTATGGGATTTGCTAGACGCTCTTAAGCGACTGAAATGCTTTGTTGTCTCTTTGGAAGCTTTATCCTTCTGCTAGGGCAAGTCTAAAGATACCGTCAAGCTAAGGCTAGAAACAGGAGTCGACACGGATAAATAAGAAAACATACAGAGTAGTTTTATGTTGTTGTTTTGTGCACAGTTGGAGTTCATTTAGGTGCTTATTGAACAGATGGGTTTTCGCACAGTAATGTCAAAGTGGTTTTACACTACATTACACATCACGATAGTCATTTAAGTCAACAACTGCTCTCTGATTAAACTCCAGATTATAGTGTCATTCATGGCCTGCTAGTGACTTATTTAATCAAACTCGCTCAATTAAATCTGAGTCATTCTGATCCTCCAACAGTTGTAGTAGAACAGCATTTCACATGTTCTACACAAAATCACTTATGAAATGTCACAGTCCGAGCTGATTCTGATTCATGCACTCAACCTGCGGTCTTTGTCCGCAGTTACATCTGGCAGCATCTGGAGATCGGATATGTGCAGGGCATGTGTGACCTGCTGGCCCCTCTGCTGGTCATTCTGGACGACGGTGAGTGAATCCACTTTGGAGACTTTGTTGCTGCCATTTTGATCTGACCTGAATTTTTTAACCCTAGTCTTGTTTCAATGAGCTACATACTTAATGTAAAATCACAGTATGCTTGTTATTGTTGGCGATAACTGTGACTTCTAAGGGTTCAGGAAACTGATTGCTTTGGGTCATATTTATGTATCTTGAACTAATCAGTTGACAACATGGAAACAAACAAAGATACAAACAAAGGCTGCTCAAATGGATTTCTGGCTTCCCTGCAACATTTGATTAAACTTGCATTTCAAACTTTTCATTGTTCTTAAGAATGTCTTTGCATGCATTGCTGTATTTTGTGTTCAGCTTTGTTTTCCATAAAGGGGCATTCTGGCCTAAAACTTAGTTTAGTATGTTCTTGGTCATGTTGCGCAGTGTTCTGTAGTGTTTTATATGAGCCTCATCAGTTTGACAGAATTCACCACTTTTGTGTTTGATACCCAGCAAGGATTGAGTAAATACAACATTAAGCCCATTGGGAATCCCTGTGGTGTCAACCAGTGCTGACTGCTAGCCACTGAACTATAGGCTAATAAATACAACCAGGCTAACATTAGTGTAAATCTTATCTCAGTTGTTGAAAATAATTGTAAAGAAAATAGTAATTCTATATTCCAAGTTGTTGACAACCCAAATGTTAAGAAGAGCCATTTTGTCCTTGCAACAAAAAGCAAACCACTTTGGGAGCCACTACACTTTATGTCCATTTTATCATCTTGGCTGTAAATGTGTCTCAGTATGTGCTGATGTACTAGTACAAACTAAAAATATAAACAACAATGCAGACTTAATTTGTTCTGCTTTAAGGTTTAGCACAGCTATACCCGCTTTTCTTGCATCTCCGGCAGGAAACTTTTCCACAAAAGTAGAACAGTTTCTTGTAAAAGGTCACTTAACATTTGATTTTTTCGAGGCTGAAGTTGCTTCTCATTCTCCAGCTTCTTGTTCGAATTTTCCCATTCCACCTTAAATGGTGCCTGAGGGGCTGGAATGTAGCTGCTGTACCATTTAAGGTGGAACGGGAAAATTCAAACAAGAAGCTGGCGAACGGGAAACGGACTTCAGCTTCATGACTTTTTAGTGCTTGACAGTTTCTGATGTCCGTCTTAAATCTTTCTCGTAGCCGTTTCGTTAGCTACTAGCTAGATGAGATTGTTGTCTGCGTTGCTCTGTGACCATCCGTCTGCATGCCAGCTAACTCACCAACTTCAGGTTGTTGTCATTTGATTAATCCATTCTTTCCACTGTAAAGATGATTTTAAGAAGTTACTACAGTTATACAACTGCAATAAGATATTCAGCTTCCTAGCAATAATGTTAGCCGTCAACCTTAATACCCCAGCAACCGAAAAAAAAATCCAAAAACCCACCCACCAAAGCAGCTGCAATGTTTTAAAAGTTCCTCCTATCTTCAAGATGCATCATCAAAAGGAGATTTTTCTAGACCACAGCGGCGCTGCTATATGCAAGTAGACACGTTTTACAACAAATGTAGTTAATGGTTACATTTTTCATTTTGGCCAAAATGTCCCTTTAATTGTTATTTTTTCATAACAATCTATCACAGAGACCACCACTCTTTTTCCTTATTTTACTCCCATTTTCTCGTCTTTTAGAGGCTCTGGCGTTCAGTTGTTTCACTGAGCTGATGAAGAGGATGAACCAGAACTTTCCACACGGAGGAGCGATGGACACTCACTTCGCCAACATGAGATCCCTCATCCAGGTGTTCATAAAACAGCTTCCAGTGTTCAGTTTCTGCCATGAAGTGTCTTGATTTAAAATTTTACATTCATATTTTGGTTTCTCCTCTTTGTTTCTGTCTCCCTCTCTTTCTGTAGATCCTGGACTCAGAACTCTTTGAGCTGATGCATCAGAATGGCGACTACACTCACTTCTACTTCTGCTATCGCTGGTTTCTCCTAGACTTCAAAAGAGGTCAAGGCAAATGCAGTGAATGCTGGTTAAAAATTGTTGTTCAACAGCGTCAACACAAATATCTGATAATTTAGAGGAGCCTTGAGAACCAAAAGCTAATGAGTGTCTCTAAATCAAAGAGATGTCAAGGGTTTGATGGAAGTGGCCTCTCTAGTTAAGAGGCCCTTAAACATGAGTCATCATTTTGCTCAGGGACAACGAGCTGAGATATGATTGGAGCCCCTGCATTAAGTGAGACTGATTTTAGTGGTGAAACCTCAACAGTACCAAAGGTTTGAATACATCTACACAGTAAAGGTTCTCTTATTATTTCTGCCATTTTCAAACATACATTATAGCACCTGAGGAGCCACCTGAGAGGGTCCGAAAAAGATCCCCTTATGCTGAGACTTTGTTGGCTGCTCAAAACAACTTTTCTGGGGGCATTTCAAAAAAATATTTTAAAATTTATACCATTTAGTTTGGAAATAAGTCCATAAATCATCAATCAGATCTTTGTTTTTGAAACAAATGTCAAGCATTTAAAATGTCAGATGTCAAAATGTCTTTAAGATTATGAAAATCAAAACTTTTGCTGGTATTGTATAGACACTGACCACGACCACAGAAATTAGGCTACTGTGGAAACCCATTCCTGCCATTTAAAAATAAAAAGTCTATCTATTTTTTTCATCATTAAGTGAATTCCTATGGCAATATTTTGCAATAATAAGTCATTATTTTGTGATACTTTCTCATTATTTTGAGAAAATGTTATTGTGGGAAACGTTTGTAATTTATAATTTATGTTTTATACATCTAATATTTTATGCTTCTGAAATGAAATATATGTGTGTATATATATATATATTCGAAATGAGTTAATATTTCTAAATAATTACTTAGTATCACAAAATAGTGGCATAGCAGTTCACTTAATAATGAAAAAATAATAAGGTGCTGGATTTTTATTTTAAATGGCGAGAATTGGCTTTTTTACTAATCCAAACATCACAGACACTCAAGAGAACTGAGAACTAGAGAATGGATCAAATGTTGGACCACAGCTCCCCCTATTGGTTATTATCATCACTGAAATCTCCAAACTTTTGGGTTCCCTTAAAGGAATGATTTGCATTGAATTTGCTGTCTGTAGCAGTACATTCTGACAGAACTGTAGGCACAGCAATAACTTTTCACCACACAAATGAAGCACAGATAACATTTTAGTAATAATAATAATAATAATAATAATAATTATGAATTTTATTTACATAGCATAGTTTCTTTACACTGTCATCTCATGGCATTTTACTCAAGATAAAATGAATAAAATACACTAAAATCACATAAGAAATGAATTACAATTTGATAAAAATAAATAAAATAAGATAATAAGAATATATACTGAGCAGAATATTAATCATGAAAGCTTGTCTAAAATAAGTGAAGATTTAGAATTTATAATAGACTCTGAGTCTTCTGTAAAATCAGTGAAATCTGCTGATGTGTCTGTGGCTTTCTCTCCGGACCCTCAGAGCTGGTGTATGATGACGTGTTTGCGGTGTGGGAGACCATCTGGGCGGCTAAATACGCCTCCTCCGGCCATTTTGTGCTCTTCATCGCTCTGGCCCTCGTCGAGCTCTACAGAGACATCATCCTGGAGAACAACATGGACTTCACCGACATCATCAAGTTTTTCAATGGTAACCCAAAGGACTGAGGTAGAAACTGAAAGGCTTTAGTCATAGAGAGGTAGTTCTTCTGTGGATGGTTCTAGAGCCCTTTATGCGGTTCTCGAATTCAGTTTTTGGCCAATGTTAGACCTGATGTCATCGTTTCACTACATGGAAATACAAAGAACCAGAGAATTTGTAGTGAGAACTGCTACTCAGTAATGTGTTCCAGGTTGGACAAAACACTAGAGGGCGCTCATGAGATGAATGGGTTCCTATGGAGTTTTTGTTTTCTCAACACAGAACAGCATAACATATTTCAGCACTGCTGTTATGATTTTGAGCTTGTTAGACCTCCAGTTTTAGGACTTTCTAGCAGTGTCATATGAACATTTAAGACATCAGTGAGATCGAACTCAGCTAAGCAATCAGCGCTCAGTAGCGGTAATTCCAACCAATCAGCACTCAGTAGCAGTAGCCAGTCAGCACTCAGTAGCAGTGGTGGCACACGACATCTGGTTATTAACATGGTCAGAGTTAATAACCAGATTTCGTTGGAAATCTCATTGTTGTCCAGTGATGATGCTCTGAACGTCCTCAATGTCTCTTTCCAGAAATGGCTGAACACCACAACGTGAAGCAGGTCCTGGCTCTGGCCCGAGACCTGGTGAGCAAAGTACAGACGCTCATTGAGAACAAGTAACCCAGAGTCCACCACCTCCTCGCCCTTCGTCACCATGCCAAAACACTCCATCAGCCTTCGCTGCAGCAGAACCAACAGGATCCAGCTGAACGTTCGGTGTACCGACAGCTTAGCGCATAAAATCGACCTCCAGCTAACCTACCTGAAACCAGCCAGTGTGTCATTCTACTCGTTCACCTGTCAAATCAGGTTCAACTTAACAAAAGAACTCTTGGTACTAAGCATATGCTGCTACTCTGCTCCTGAGGTGTTTACATTTAGACGTGCGGCTCTAGTTTCAGAGTTAGCGACGGCTAGCAAAAGCTGTTCTTGGAAATTTCAAGTAAGGTGCGTTTTAAAGTTAAGCCAGACTGTGACACTTCCATTAGAAGCCTGATTTAGGTTTAACATACACATTTCGAGTCAAACCTGAACAGTAATGTAGCCCTCGGCTATATTAAACGAGGCGCTTTAGCCTGTTTAGCTCAGACGCTTCCCTTCCACAGCTGTGCTTCTGTTACTGTGTTTATCTTTGAACTCTCATGGTTTTTTGAGTCTAAAAGTCACACTAGACGTTTGCAGTTCACGTCTCGTCTCGTCCGGTGGTGAAAGGAATTCCCCCTTTTTTGGTGCAGTTAACAGTTTAGCAGTTATTTAGCATCCCAGCTGTGGCTAGCGATATTGGGTTGGGAATGGGGACACAACATAAAGCTATTATACCTCACTAATGCCGGATTTATTCCACTTCTGACTAATTTCTAACCATGCCAGCTCTCTTTCATGCTAATTTATAGTTGCTTCAGGAAAAGTTATTGTAAAAATATTGTGCTTAGTCACCGCTAAAGTTAGCGCTTCCTCCATTTCAGTGCTGCTGTATGAAGCCACGCCACTTCAGAGATCAATGCAGCCAAAGCAGTTGTACTATATTAGTCGATAATATGAATTCACATGTCATCGTTCACCACAGCTGAACTGAAAGTGCAGTTTTTTCATTCTGTTAGTCTGTGACGCGAAAATCTTCATTACGGCGAAATAAGTTGAAATGAGCGTAAACGCTAGTGTGACTGGGCCTTAAAGGGGGAATTTCACCAATTTGTCAAACGTTCTGCCTTATTATTGGCTAACATGTAGACAGTGTCATTCCGAGTGGTTTGGTGTGAAATGCTTCATTTTAGAGGAACTTAGAGTAAGAATTGTTCACAGTGGTGGTGATAGGAACCAGACGTCTGAAGCTTCTGAAAAATGCGACAAACTACAGATTATCACATACAATGGTTATAAAAACACTGTCTGATACCCAATTCATTGTTTATGATAGCTTTGAGAAGATTTCAGTCTAGAGCATGTGTTTTTAAATCCTTTCATGGTGAATAGTGAACATCAAGACAAAATAATTCCCTAAAGAAAACTTTTTTTCATATATATCACTATTTTACCAACATGAACATTTCATAAAATTTAGAGAACACATATTGGTTCACTGGTGGTTTTGGATAGTAAAAAAATTGCTACATTTGTGTTGTAGACATTGAGTGTGTTTACATGCACTTAATAATCCGATAACTGCAGAAAATCAGATTTTGTCAGTAATCTGATCAATGCATTTACATGCACTTGAGTAATCAGATAACGGGGAAACTCCGGGTCTACATGAGTCAGACAGTAATCAGATTTCTGCTTTGCAACCAGCCAATAAACTCACAGAAGAAGATGAGACATAACGTAACGTAAAACTCAAACTTCATGCTGCGTTTTTTTTTTTAAAACACTGAGTCACTTTACCTGAAAATATGAACATACATCATCTGGAAGATGAAGAATATTTAAATCCTTCATTTCGTTGAGAATGTAGTCGGTTTCAGTGTCACTCCAAAAGTGTTTTGCTACTATCTTGCGGCAACGCTGCTTGATTGCTTCCAGAACAGCAGTCTGTTTTTGCTCATGCACAGACTGAGAAATCTGAAAGAAATCAGAGTAAGAGCTTACATGCACCGAGAAATCTAATTACTGAGCTGAAATCCAGCTCTCTAGATCTGAGAGTGGTGTTTACATGACCATTTGAATAATGGGATAACTGCAGAAATCCAATTATGATCGGTTTATTGAGTGCATGTAAACGCACTCATTGTGACGCCTGGTTCCTATCACCACCACTGTAAAGAAATCGGTACGTTACACATCAATCCACTCTGGAGAATGACTGGAATTCCCCTTGAAGTCTGACGTTATTTGTGCAGGAACATTTTTGTCGCTTTATAGTATCTTAAATAGAGTTAGCCGCTAAGGAAGCAAGGTCAAAACATCGTCACGGAGCTCTTCGAGGATCCGTTTCTGAACAGAAAAAGATGATAAGCTTTAGCTTGAAAGTTCTCTCAAGCCTTTGTGCAATCGTTTGGATCTCCATCCAAATCTGTGTAATCACCAAACCAGTGCAGTTTCTTCGGTGCATAGTCTTGGTCCACACTAGTGATGATTAACTGGTATTACCTTTTCATTCCATGACGTATGCCTGTGTATGAGTGTGTGTGTTGGTGGACCAGCCAAGATCTTTTCCGAATCATGTTCAGAATCTCACCACGACAGTTATTCAGTCTGTTTGCCAATGTTTAGTACCTTCCACTGCAGGGCCTTGGCTGCCTACTTGTGTTTTGACTTTACTGTGACTAACAAATAAAAAAAAAAAAAGCTTATTTACGTATAATGGAAACATATAGTATATTTATTATACATAGAGATAGATCTATAATGAACCGTGGCGTTAGAGGTCACATGGTTTTCTGAATGGAAACTGATATTAAAGCAGAGAAACTATATTTAACAGTGCTCTTATTTATTTTTGCATTATCGGGTAATTTACTGTCTACAGTGTGGCCTTAACTGTATTGCTTGGTCGGTTTATGGTGGCCTGTATTGTCCTCCGGTGCTGTCCGAGTGTCTTTCAGCTTTTGGGTCCAATGAAGGAACTTTTCTGAACACAGGGTCTCAAAGTTTTTTCCAAATTTAATGTCTTCTACGTTATTGGGAATTGGGCTTTGATCAAGTTGACCAAAGTGCATTTAGGTTCAACCCAAGACCACCAGTTCGTAACCAAGCAAAGAGTTAGCTCAGTTCTTGGTGAATTGGGTTTTTGTTACCTTTGGATTGGACCAAACCCTTAAAATAGCCATGAACAGCCAAACTGCAGCTTTTAATGCATGAAGCATCGACTTGGATCTTTGTAACGCTGTCAAATTGTCTGCTGTTATTAAACTGACTTGAATTCGAAGCCCAAAAATCGGACTAACTTGAAACACTGACCCTGGAGATGTTTTCCAGTATGTCCAATTGACAATTCATCTTAAACCATGCAGTTGGCTGAAGATTCTTGAATCAGCGTTGTAAACCTCAGTAATTACTGTAATCCATTATCTATGCTGCGCTTTATAAATGGTCTAGAGTCGTCTTGCATTGAATATTGTTGGTTTATTATGTGAAAGCAGAGCTCTATGTTATCAAGGAATGAATTGTTTGTAAATCTTGCTTTATCTGTTTGTTTATTTATTTATTTATATCTGAATGTATTCATTTTGTCTCCGCTTTTGTATGTAAAGCTAACACTTGTTACATTGTGGTTGATGATTATTAAACGGTACACGTGCTTATAAAAACAATAAAGTGAAATTGGTATTATTTTTCCAATGAATATCTGCCGTTAGGCACAAGAACATCACAATACAGTTTATTATACAATACAATTCCTGACCACTGTCTGTGCATATATATATACACATAACTTGGCCAAAAGTATGTGGACACCTGACCATCACACCTATAGGAGCTTGTTGGACATCCCTTTCCAAAACTATTGGCATTAATATGTTGCCCCCTTTGCGGCTATAACAGCCTCCACTCTTCTGTATAACAGTATAATTGTCTAAAATGTCAGCCCCAGACCATCATCCCTCCTCCACCGCAATTTACTGTCGGCACTATGCATTACAGTAGGGTAGGATCCAAAAAGTTCTGAGAACCAGAGGATCAGAGTTCTGATTTCTCTAAATGCTTGTGTGCAAATTTTAGACAAACATCTCTGTAATTCTTATTTTTATAGGAGTCTTATTTGGAGTTAATTTTGTGCCAGAAGTTTTAAATAAAATAAATAAAATCCACAAGCAAAATATTTAACTGTATTAAGGCCAAGAGTTAAGTTTCCCACAACTCATGGCATCAGTATAGTAATTAGTGGCCTCAATATAGTAAATTATGATGTCAATATGTTAATTTGTGGCCTCAATATAGTAATGTGTGGCCTCTGTATTAATTCATGGCTGCAGTATAATAATATGTGACCTCAATATAGTAATTAACGGCCCCAACAAATAACTTTGTGGCCTCAATACAGTAATTTTTGTCCTAAATACATTAATTTGTGGCCTCAATATAGTAATTCATGGCCTCACTATAATAATTTGTGGCCTCAGTATATTAATTTGTGGCCACAACATATAAATTAGTGGCCTCAGTATAGTAATTCTTGTCCTAAATACATTCATTTGTGGCCTAAATGTAGTAATTTGTGGCCACAACATATTAATTCATGGCCTCAATAAAATAATTAGTGACCTCAATATAGTAATTCATGGTCTCAACATATTATAGTAATGTGAGGTCTCAATATAGTCATTCGTGCTCTAGAAATAATCATTTGTGGCCTCAAAATAGTAATTCGTGGCCACACCTTATTAAAAAATAACCACAATGTCCCTAGAAAACAGTGTAATTAGCGTTACTGTCTGAAATAAAAGCGGAGACTAAGCTGGATTCATGTTTCTTTTACCAAAAAGCTCGTTCGCCCGAACAGGGACTTGAACCCTGGACCCTCAGATTAAAAGTCTGATGCTCTACCGACTGAGCTATCCGGGCTCTGAGAGACTGAGTCACCACTGGAGCTCAGGAAGCCTCGGAAACAGCTCAGCCTGACTGTCTCCGCTCCTCCGTGCGGTGGATAAACCCACTGAGCTGAATGAACAGCGAGCGGCTCCAACATGTTTCCCTGGTGCATTAGGAGGCACCGTTTTCTCTCCTCTGCTGTAAAAGTACAGATCGGAGCCTCGGGTCTCAGCGCTGTAGCGCCGGAGAGGAAAATGACAGCAGGGTGCAGATTATTTACATCGCGGAGGTTAAACAGAGCTGCGCCGCTGCGGCCTAGGCAGCCTCGGTGTAGATTATCGGAGCTGCCCGCGCATGGCGCCTGGCCGACCGTCAGGCGAGCAGCCGGCTGCCGCTGGAGCTCGAACCGGAGCTCAAATAACGCTGCTTTTAGTTCAAAGGTAACTAACACAACCTGGACTTGATTTAAGTCGTTTTTACTTCAGAAAGTGTTTCTAATGGGAAAACAAACCTATTCTCGATAATATTTCACCCAAAAAGTTCAGCTCGGACGGTTGGATGCTGAATGGCAGCTAGCTTGAGATTTAGCACCAGGTCTGTGTTGAAACTTACCACGTTACTGAATAAAAAGGTTTCTAAAGTGACAAAAACTAGGCTGTGCACGTGTAGAAACTCACTGGCTTGCACTTTTAAGGACCCAAACTCAAATTCCTGAGTTGTTTCTCACAAAAGGAAGGACGTATCTGTGTTTTAGTACCATGAAAGTACTCCAGCAGTGAAGAGCATTACCGGTTAAATTCAGTATCACGATATTTTCAAAATATATGACGATATCTCTGTATCAGAGTATTTAAAGGGTCCTAAAACTGAAGTTTCTTATCTTATTTGAGGGGCTGTGTAATGTTCTTTAATGCAGAATTGTGTCTCTCAGCCTCGTCAGTTTGACAGAATTCACTGTTTATATCCTTTTTATGTTTTTGTCAATGTTCTCTCACTACAATACCCAGCATGCACATGCACAAGTACAACATACATGGCACTCTGTGGTGTCAACCATCTTGACTGCTGCCCAAGCCGCTAATCTATAGGCGAATAAACACATTATTGTAACTCAAACCTTGGTTGAACAAAATTGTAAAGAAAAACAGCAATTCTGTCTTTATTCAGCTATAAAAGGACATGTTTTTGTCCAACACATGTAAAAATGGTTACATTTTTTTCTACTTACTATATATTTAGTTAACTATTAAAACCCCAAGCTCTGAAAATCCATATCATGGTATACTGGTATGACCCAGAAATGTACTCAAGCCTTAAAGAGACCTAGAACTGCGATTTAATGTTACATGTCATGTAATGTAATATTCTGTACCATAGCAGTGTATCTCTCAGTCTCTTAGGTTTGGCAGAATTCACTATTTTGTAACCTTTTTGGGGTTTTGTCTGTCAGTGGCCAACATGCATTATACAAATTGGTCAAACATGTATTGATAAATGCCCCCATCGTCCTTCCAATGGCAATAAAGACTAATGAAAGACTAATAAAAATAGAAATTAGACTCTGCTATCGTAATATTAACTATCTGGCTTTCTTCAAAACCTATCTGGCTTTCTTCAAAGCCACCCCACCTTCAAGATACATCATCAGAAGGGGGTTTATTTAGTCTTTAAACCATAAAATCTCGATCTTGAGACTATTGTGGCTCCACTTTAAAAGGTGATTAGGCACAGATGTTGCAATGGTTACATTGTTCATTTTGGCCTGAGTGCCTATTTAAATACATACAGTGCCTTAAAAGGCTTGACTATACTCTCTTTTCTCTAAATCTGCTTGTATTGTCACAGATTGCTCTAATTTATGTAATGTATATAGCTTTGCTAACTATATCTGCCTCTTTGCATTTGTGTCTTCTCCAGATTCCTCCGTTTCCTACTTGGGAGCCAGTAGCTGAAAGCCAGCTTCCCCCAGTATGTGTCTCTTTCCACATGACACCAGAACCCTCTTTATGGTCATATTCTTTCTCTCAACTTTTACTTGTCAGTCTACATGCTGAAACATTATGACTCTAGACCAGAATGAAAGGTAAACATTGGGATGTGTTTTTCCTGCAGCCTACAAAAGTTTCCCTAGACCTTGTGGACAAGCTGGAGAGACTTGCTCTTGTAGACTTTGGCAACCAGGAAGGTGTGAACTGTTTGGAGAAAGCAATCCGGTTTGCCGATCAGCTTCACGTTGTCAACACCGATGGTGTAGAACCAATGGATTCTGTGCTAGAAGACAGGTGAGACATTCTGCAAACATTTCATTTTAAAGCTGATTTTTCAAAATTTTTGTATAATTCAGTAGTTGAGATGTAAACATAGTCATTCAGAGTGATTTGTTATGAAGTGGCTCATTGTAGCTACTGTATACTATCCAAAACCACCAGTGAACCTACACATGTCTTCTGAGTGTTTTATATAACTATGATGAAGGTACAATAGTGGTCAATCTTGAAAATAAGTTTTGTTTGGGGGCTTTTTTCTTAAAACACCCTGTGCCTGCCCCTCTGCCATGAACACATTTTAGACCTTCTCAACATCATAAAACAATGTTTCAGACATCAGGCTGTTTATTTAGAACCATTTCATGTAATAACTTTCAGTGAGGGAGCTTTTAGATGTGGACATCTTGTTCCTATCACCACCACTGTGAACTGTGAAATTCTGACTCAGTAAGTTTCTCTAAAATGGAGCAATTCACACCAAACCACTCTGAATGACTGTATTTACGTTTTAACCAATCTTACTAAGATTCTTGAGACCAATATTTTCTACAGAGCCAAAAGAAAACCTTTTCTTTAAGACCCCAGCAAGCCAACAACAGTACAACAGTTGGGGTAGCAGTGGATGTGATGCAGATATAAAGCTCTCAGTGCAACCCTGGAAAACCCCCTTCATTCTGCAAAGCTTGCTGGGTGTTTTTGCCTTGTCCTTAATTGACCTAAACTGTATCTGCCATTTTTCAAACCACAAGCTCATCTGCCAGACGCCTGCTTCCTGCGAAACCAAACTTCCTGTTCTCCCTGGTGATCTTAGGCTTCTTGCCTGTTTCTGCTTACTAGGTACTGTAACGTCAATCTTTGATGATCTTGCATGATCTGTGCAAGAGTTCTCAAGGCCCTCTTTGTAAAAGTGCCACTGCCCCCATCTTGCCCCACCATTCACTTAATAAACGAGGACCATTACTTCCCAGAACCATGTCAATTTTGTTAACTTTTTTCACAGCTATTGCTGACCTGGCAGGGCACTGTCTTATGACATTACAGGTAACTCGATAAGTGGGAACTGGATGCTGTGAATTGAGATTGTTTGGCATGTATAGTTTTATTAATGTTTTTATTAATGTTTTATAAAGTTTACTGTTTTTAAACAAGTATGATTTTTTTAAACCAGTTTGAGGCCACTTATCTATGCGATTTCATTGATATCAACTCATCCAAGAGATATTGAATGGAGCTCCACCACTCCAGACAATGCAGAGCTGCTCCACAGCCCAATACTGGGGGGGCCTGAGGCTCATGTGTAGCTGCACCAGAGTATCCCATTCTATTGGTCATTGCTTTTCTATGTTGATGTACCAGCTGTATGTTTGCAGTTGACCACCTGTATTGGAAATGGGTGCTCCTTAAAGAAGTATTTACTCATTAGAAGGTCTGTCTGGATACTTTTGGACATTTTCATTTCATATTTTCAGGCAAAGTCCAGGCTTTGGGTTTTCCAAAATTCTGTCCAGCACTTTTATCATGTTATCAATATCAGAAGCATCAGTAGAGAGTGACCTAGCTGTTGCCGTCTGCTATGGGAACTGCACCGTCTCAGACTTCAGGGCCGTACAGCAGTTTGTGAGGGTGGCTGAGAAGATTATCGGATGTCTCTACCCACCGTTGACACTGCCTACCACAAATGTTGCAAAGCCACCAGCATTGCAGACGACCCCTCCCACCATTCTTATGGGCTCTTCACCCTCCTGCAATCTGTCAAAGTACAAGAGTATCTGTTCCTCCACCTCCAGACTTTGCCACAGCCTCATCCCCTATGTGGTCAGATTACTGAAAGCACTTGACTTGTACAGTCTCCTGAGAGTAGCTTTGAAACCTCAAAGTCACTTCACCTAGTTAATCACACAGTTTTATGTTTCCAGGTGCTTCTGACCACAAAACATCTTCCTGTGAGTCACATCCGATGATCTTGTCATGTTACTTGATGCAATCAGAATGTGTATTTGTATCAAAAGGGCAGCACAGGAACATCATGAAACATCTGTCTTGGTCATAGACCCTTGTATATGACAATGTCACAGAGCAGGAGTGCTGATCTAGTAGGGCTGGGAGAAAAAAAATAATACATTTACATTTATTCATTATCAGGAGCAACTTTTTAGTCAAGTTATGATGTAGATGTGGGTGAATGTAGCGTTAGGAGTCTTGCCCAAGGACTTATTGGTGTAGAACAATGTGCTTCCCCAAGTTTGGGAACCAAACCCCAATCTACTGCATGGGAGCAGCAGTAGATACAATATAAGTTTTGTAATATTTTGAGTGCAAAATTACTATTAGCACGCATGTATTAAGTTCCTTAGCAGAGTAACAGTCCAGTCACACTCGCATTTATCTATGAAATTACACTCTTTTCCATGGATTTCGCTGCAGTGTTTGGTTTCACGTTGTAGGTTTCCAGGTCAAACAAATTTTGGGTGTGAAATTTCAGATTTGGTGAACTTTGAAACGTGAATTTGCGTCTGCCAGTAGCGCAACTGCTTTGGCTGTGTTGATGTCTGAAGGGGCGTGGCTTCATTTAGCAGCACGGAAGGAGATGTCCAAACAAAAACCTCTACACATTTCTTCCCCAGTGACTATAAATAAATACGTAAAAGACTGATGTGCAGTCAGTTGGGAACCCATATTATTACCTTCACTTTTGCAGTTTTACTGTTTGTTTTAGGCGTTTTAGCTTTCTATCTGCGATGCTAGCTCCTAGGATAAGTGAAGCTGCACCCCATTGTCACGAACAGCGCCAATTACTTGCACTTTTTTATGTACAACAAAGTATGAAGCACTATACTTTCCCAGGAGTGTATAATTAACTGATGTTATTAGGTTCGATGTTCGATTACTGTTTATGGTTAGCTTGCTTGTTAATTCCACCAACGTGGAGGATTTTTTTTTTCATTGCTAATCTTCCAAAAAACTTTATTTTTGTTTTTCTAGTGCACAAGGTGGTCCTAATAAGCTTGCTTGGGCATTCAGTTGAATCCCAAATACAGCCCATCCCCGCTACTTGGAGACCTGACCAGACCAAACCAGACTGGTACTGCTAAAACCTAAACCCGAATGGAAACTACTCACATGCACTAACGCAACAAGCTTTCTTTTAATGTCTCTCATAGCGCACTACTAGCGAGACCTTTAGCTAAGCTAACATAGACTACCCTAGCAAGCTCAAGGGTCACCATTAAGTAGCTTTGTAATCTTGCCAGGTAAAGTATCTTCATGATGTATGATCATGGGGCCTCTACTGATTCCCACTTCAGTGATCTGAAATGTTACTATCCCCATGACACTCCAAACTGATCTTACATCAGCTCATGTTAATAATGAGGGTTTCATTTCTTCTGTTTGTGTCTGCCATCTCTTACCAGACCCCTGTATCTGAGAGAAGACACGGTGAGGGAAGGAGACTGTGCAGAGGAACTTCTTCGGCTCTCCAAGAACACAGTGGAAGAGTACTTTGTAGCACCTCCAGGTCAGAACATTGTTTTTGACCTGCTTTTTAAGAAGCAATGCCAGCAACCACCTCTTCTTCTTTATCTCCTTAACGACTGTAGTTTAACAGCCAGTGATCATGTTTGGGTCCCAAGACATCATCCAAAAAGCTGTAGCATTTAAGCAACAGAACACGAGAGGCAGTGTGTTATTGAGAATATCACACCTGTGCTTTGGTCGCAGGCACAAGCTGAAGGCGAGTACAGTAGATCATCACAGACTTGATGTTATTCGTGATATCACACGACCTCCAGTGTTATATTGCTTTAATACAACAGTTCTGGGAAAAAAAATTCTGATGAAATGTGAAAAAATGGGCAAACCTACATTTTCTCACTCTTGAAAGTCCTTAATGTTTCAGATCAGCAGCGCTTTTTACATTCAGAGACCGTCTAAATAGTGCATAACATTTCTAATGTATGTAGCAAAAAGGAGAAAAGTCGCTTACAGTAAAGAAAGTCATGAACCAGCCATTTGGAACAGAATATTCTGGAGAAACACTTATCACACTTATCGAGATAATCACCAGGAGGTGGAAACAACAACAAAGTGATCTGGTGTGATTTTGCCTTCTTTTAGATAAACTCATGAGAAATAAAACTTCACCTGCATTATGTAATTTTAGACAGTCCCTTAATGACTAAAATGTCTCTGATCTGCAAAGAAAGATGAGAATAGAGCTGTTTTGAATTATTCAACTCTTAATAACCACCACTTCTGTTTCTTCCCACAGGAAACATCCCACTTCCAAAGAGAGAGGAGAGATCTGCCATGCTGAAACACGCCGACTTCTGAGTTCATACATATCAATAAAGTGTTGCTTTCGTTGTGTATAAATGCATAATAAACATATATGTCTATTTAAAGGGGATTTCTTCCTGTTTTTTAAAAATAATTTTCTGTATAATTCAGTGTTTGAGATGTGAACAGAGTCATTCAGAGTGGTTTGGTGTGAAATGGTTGATTGTAGAAACTCAGATTTCTTCACAGTGGTGGTGATAGGAACCAGGGGTCGCCTACAACACAAATATGGACGTTTTATTCATTATCCCAAACCACCAGTGGGGACTTTATTGCCTACATGTATCTCAAAACTGTCATAACCACATTCATAACCACCTCATATGATGACTGTCTGTGAGGGAGCTTTTAGAGGTGGACGTCTGGTTCCTGTCACCACCACTGTGAACAATTCTGACTCTGTAAGTTTCTCTAGAACAGAGCGTTTCACACCAAACCACTCTGAATGACTCTGTTAACATCTTAACTATTAAATTACACACAGACTGAAAAATCAGTGGAGTTCCCCTTTAAGCTGTGGCCCTCGTACTCTGATTAAGGAGTGTGAAGTAATGTGCTGGTCTTTAAGGCTGAGAGATGTTGTGCACTTTTTATGTGGAAGCTGCAGGTTTCATTTAGAAACTGCTCAGTGTGGCTGGAGCTGAGAGCTCACTTAGTTCATCAGATCACATCTATTATTTATAGGTTTCATTTAGCAGGAACACAAACTGAGACTGTCACCTGATTAGTAGCGTCATTAATGTGGAGAATGCAGCTGTTCAGGACCCAAAACAACAACAATAGACATGCTACTGTTTATTATGCAGTGATAGGAGTTCAGCTGAGTGACCTTCTGGTGGGCTCTATTGAAGGTCCACTCACTCCAATCTACAGGCTGAGCTACAGTAAAATGTATATAATTCTAATAAAAGGAGACTTTAATGTTCCTGAAAACGACCTGCTCTCCTTCAGGAATGTGTGACGTAGGGAATTCCAGCTGGAGTTCCCCGTCACATGATCACTTTTTCATGTTAGCTTTTCTGTTTCCTTTCTCCAGAACACTTTCCGAGTGGAAATGGAAACTCGCTGTGCTGTTTGTTGTGGACAGAGTTCAGGATCAGAGGCTGGTCCAAAGTACAGACTGTGTTTATCGACACTGAGCGACTGACATTTACATCAGCACATTTTTATATTGATCATTAATAACTCATACAATGCAAATTTAAAGTGGAACTCCTCCAGTTTTTCACACCAGCTGCTCAACCTGCAGCCTAAATCGGCCAAAGTCTCTAAACTACCACACTGGACGAAACATGTAGGCTTGTATTTTGGTGAGATCAGTCCTATGATGTCAGCAGTGTTAGCCTGCATGCAGTAACGGCCGTATTTTGGCTCTGGAGCGTTTCTGGCCGTGACATCATGATTTACCGCCATTCATTTTTCTCATTGAGAGAACCGGCTCAGAGCCGGACGTCCTTATATGGGCGTAGAGGCGGACGTCTGTGGTCAGAGGCCGCGAGTTACAGACAGCAGAACGAGGTTAGACTTCAAAAACTCGCTGTTCTCCGAGCGAAGAAGCCTACACACTTAAAAAAGACGGTTCTACAAAGGTTCTTTAGTAAAGGGAGTGGTTCTGTTTTGAAACATGAGTTCCATTTAGAACCATTTCATGCTTAAATGCACTTCACACTGATGGAAAATGTGCTGTATATGGTTCTTTATAGCACTAAAAAGGGTTCTTCTGTTCTTACAAGCTTGATATTGTACTAGCAGAACCCTTTTAGGTGCTATATAGAACCATTTCATGCTTATTTGCATGGGGAAATGATTCTTAAGATTGATGAAGAATATGTTATAAAAAGATCATTATAGAACCTTTGTGAAAATGGTTCTATAAGGATTCTTCTGAGCTTGGCATCATAACAGTAGCAGAACCCTTTTTGGTGCTATATAGAACCATTTTTGAGAAGGCTCTGTTCCGAAACATTTCATGCTTAAATGGTTCTTAGCATGGTGAAATGGTTCTTCAGATCGTTGAAGAATATGTTGTATATGGTTCTATATAGAACCTTTATGAAAATGGTTCTATAAGGGTTCTTCTGTTGTTACAAGCTTGACATCATGACAACAGAAAAACCCTGGTTCTATATAGAACCATGTACATCACATTCTCCACCAATCTGAAGAACCATTTCACCATGCTAAGAACCATTCAAGATGAAATGGTTCTATATATCCTTAACAGAACCATTGCCTTTATTAAAGAACCCTTGAAGAGCCATCTTTTTAAGTGTGTAGAACAAACTACAGGTCTGCAAAACCAGCTGAATGTTCTGGAAAACGCTGATTATTATTATTATTATTATTACTCTGTTTCTTCAACATCTGCAGTGTTTGTATCTGAAAGGCTTTCCTTCTGTGACGTCACCGCGTCGGGCGGAGAAAGGAAACCGAAAATGTCGCTTCAGGACGAAAAACGAAAACTAGACCAATCTGGCGTCGCTTCCTCTCCGCCTATTGGCTGGCGCGCCCGAGGGGGCGTGGCTATGCCGGTGTTTATAATGAGCGCGGCTGATCTGGAGAGCTGGACTCGATCTTTCTTTCTTCCATTGGAGGACGCAAAGCAGAAGACTGACCATCACCTGCCTTCATACAGGACACCGGTCACTCAGAGGTGAGTTCAGCTCTGTTTAAACGGCTTTATTAGACACAGTCTGCTCTGTTTCCGCTCTGCTGGAGCTCATTCAGCTCCACAGTGTTTATACTGAGTGTTCATTCACTGTATTCTACACTGTATGTCAGTGCAGGCTGGGCTCATTTAACACCGCTTATCAGGGCTGTTTCTGAGCATTTGGGGGCTCTAAACTTTGGACTTGGGGCTCATTCATTTTTATCAGGAACAAAATCTTATATTAAATATTAAACTCTAAGGGAAATGAAATAAAGCAGTGTTTAACTAGCTTTAAAGCAGTGTGTAACTAACTTTTTGAAGCCAATATTTATTTATTTATTTATTTATTTATTTATTTCTTTATTTATTTGCCACAACTTCTGCCAATATCATGATGAACGACACTAATGATAATAAAATAAATGTTAAAAAAATGTACTAGTGTGGCCCCTTTGGCGGCCCAGGGGCCCAAAGCAACTGCTTGTATATAGCTAGAACCATCCCTGGTGCTTTTTTATGGGGAACCCCCGTAGTGAGTCCACCTCACTGATGTAACACTAAGAATTAAAGGGGAATTCCACTGATTTTCTATAATTTCTGCACAATTCAGTGGTTGAGATGTTAACAGACTCTAAATTTCTTTACAGTAGTGGTGATAGGAACCAGACGTCCACCTCTAAAAGCTCCCTCACAGAAAATTATTATACTAAACGGTTATGAATTCACTGCCTGATGTCTGAGACACTGTTTTATAGTTTTGAGAATGTTTTGGTCTAAAACGCGTATTTAAGATAGTGGAGTGATACATGCAGGGCGTTGTGAGGCAAAATAGTCCCCTAAGAAAACTTATTTTATAAGATTTATTATTATTTTACCGTCATCCCTGCAGAAAAAAAACAGCACAGACCAGCATACATTCCATGTTGGTCGAGTGCTGATCTGATGCTGGTTTAGCCGGTCACCCCTGGTTCCTATCAGCACCACTGTAAAGACATCTGAGCCTCTATATTGAACCACTTTCACACCAAACCACTCTGAATGAAGGACTGAATTATTCTGAAAAAACCTGGAAAACTTCATTTAATCATGTCCAGTTTATAATATAATATAATATGTTTCTCTCTTTCTTGCAGGTTATTGATTTATTGATCCAGTGATGGAGCTGATTGTGAAGCTTGTGAGCGGAGAGTGCCGCAGTGTGCGCGTGAGTGGAAATGCCACGGTGGGCGAGCTGAAGCGGGCGGCTGCGCAGAGCTTCGATGTGGCCACCTCATGCGTGCGGCTCTCCACGGGCAACGGGCTGCGGGTGAGCCTGGAGAGCGAGCTCACTCCACTGAGCAGCTACGGCCTCAGCTCAGGCTCCACCGTCATGCTGCTGCTGCTCGCACCTTTCCAGGTGTTCGTCAAAAACGAGAAGGGCCAGGTGAAAACCTACGACGTGACCGAGGAGGAGACGGTCAGCGAGCTGCAGAGGAAGGTCTACAACAAGGAGGGCACCCCCATTGACCAGCAGAGGCTGATCTTCGGCGGCAGGCAGCTCGAAGCCGGGAAGCTGAAGGAGTACGGCATCGCCAACGGAAGCACCATTCACCTGACCCTCCGTCTGCGGGGGGGCTAACGAGGCTAACAGACCTCCTTCGGGCCGTTTCAGTGCTCTTTAAACGAGCCCTCGTCGACTTGACTTCACTCTTACTGGACTCTTTTCCATAACTTTGTTAGTATAAGTTTATTAAATGAGGCCTTCGAGGGAACAAGTGAGCATTAGCTTTAGCATTAGCACATTAGCCTCGCAATCACTGACATTTCTCTTTTCAAACCCCCAAAACGTGGAGAGCAAAAGCCACAGCAGCAAAATATTTCAAAGGGTTTCCTGTTTCAAAACTATAACATTGAACTGACTACGGTCGAACTGGCTAATACAGCTTCATTACTCTGCTAGCTTGCTTTGCTAGTTAGCAAGCTAAAAGCTACAAACAACAAAAGTAAAGGTAACTCACCACGGTTTTAATTCAACACTTACAGACAGACAGTTATTCACACAATTTATGTTCAAACGTCTGAAAAACACGTCAGCATTACAAAGTTTGCATGGTTAGCTGGTTAGCACAGTGAGGCTAACCTAGCCGAGCACACTCAGGTTGAGTAATCCCTTCCACCCCAAGCAGCCCCTCGAGAAACGTAGGTGCAGTTGGGGAATTGAAGTTGACGGTTGATGATTCAGCATTAGTAGATGTTCACTTGCGAGTGGTCAAAGTTGAAGTTGGCATGTTAAGGAAAAAAAGTACTGAAATGAACTGCAGTTTCACAGAGCAGCGTTCCTCCTGTTAGCCTTTTAGCTTAGAACTACTTTATGTAGTCTGCCAAAGCTAATGCTGAACAGTGTTGAGGCTGCACTTGTTTTTTTCTGTTGGTTTTCATACTAAAAATGAAAAAAAAAAAAAGGTGAAAATGGTTTAGAAGCTGCACTTTCAACATCATTTCTGTGTGTTACATAAATAAAAATGACTATTTAAAATTCTTAATATATTTTTTAAATAATCAAAGAACCTGCTTTTGTTATCGCTGGCGATAACTGCACCTTAAGCCCAAACTCAGGCCTGTCCAATAGGAGGAGAGACCACGGATCTTCTTCATTCCTATTGGACAGCCCTCACTTTTGGTTTAAGTGATCCAGTTTAGTGAGAAATCCTGCTTTGGGAAACATTTTCCTGTTTTTTTTTTAAGATTTAATGTTGTAAGTTATACTCATATATTTAATTATATGCTTTAGTTATATTTATTCACTCTAGGCTATGTGCAGTGCTGCCACTGTTAACGTTAGCACAGTTTAGCTGTTGAAATCTAACATGCCAAGTATTTTCTCTGTGACCAACATGTTTTTAAGTGATGTTCCCTTGTAAACACCTGCTGTTCATTAAATTATTGCTTTGTTAAAACATTTCTGGCTTTGTGAATGTTTTCTTACTGGAATGAATCAGTTTCACTGAGTGTTCAAGGTCTCCACAAAAAGCTAGGTTCAGAATTTAAACAGTCATTCAGATGATATGGAACCAGGGGTCACCATGACAACAACACAAATATAGCCATTTTATTTGCTATCCCATTTCCTAAAAATTTGGGACGCTGTGCAAAATGTAAATAAAAACAAAATGCAATGATGTGCAAATCATTTAAACCCTATATTTCATTGAAAATAGTACAGACAACACATCGAATGTTGAAACTGAGAAATTTTATTGTTTTTTGAAAAATATAGGCACATTTTGAATTTGATGCCAACAACATGTTCCAAAGACGTTGGGACGGGGGCAACAAAAGGCTGGTAAAGTTGTGTAATGCTGAAAAAACACCTGGTGGTTAATTGGCAACAGGTCAGTAACATAATTGGGTATAAAAAAGCATCTCAGAGAGGCGGAGTCTTTCAGAAGTAAAGATGAGGAGGGGTTCACCACTCTGTGAAAGACTGCACAATCAAATAGTGTAACAATTCAAGAAAAACGTTTCTCAACATAAAACAGCAAAGAACTTTTGCTTTTCATCATCTACAGTAATAATATGATTAAAAGATTCAGAGAATCCAGAGAAATCTCCGTATGTAAGGGACAAGGCCAAAAACCAGTATCTGCTGGCTGTGATCTTTGGGCCCTCAGAAAGTGGAAAAGTGTCCTGTGGTCCAACGAATCAGCATTTGAATTTTTTTTTTCATTATGCAGTGATAGGAGTTCAGCTGAGTGACCTTCTGGTGGGCTCTATTGAAGGTCCACTCACTCTAATCAACAGGCTGATCTACAGTAAAATATATATAATTCTAATAAAAGGAGACTTTAGTGTTCCTGAAAACGACCTGCTCTCCTTCAGGAATGTGTGACGTAGGGAATTCCAGCTGGAATTCCCCGTCACATGATCACTTTTTCAGGTACCTTTTCTGTTTCCTTTCTCCAGAACACTTTCCGAGTGGAAATGGAAACTCGCTGTGCTGTTTGTTGTGGACAGAGTTCAGGATCAGAGGCTGGTCCAAAGTACAGACTGTGTTTATCGACACTGAGCGACTGACATTTACATCAGCACATTTTTATATTGATCATTAATAACTCATACAATGCAAATTTAAAGTGGAACTCCTCCAGTTTTTCACACCAGCTGCTCAACCTGCAGCCTAAATCGGCCAAAGTCTCTAAACTACCACACTGGACGAAACATGTAGGCTTGTATTTTGGTGAGATCAGTCCTATGATGTCAGCAGTGTTAGCCTGCATGCAGTAACGGCCGTATTTTGGCTGTGGAGCATTTCTGGACATGACATCATGATTTACCGCCATTCATTTTTCTCATTGAGAGAACCGGCTCAGAGCCGGACGTCCTTATATGGGTGTAGAGGCGGATGTCTGTGGTCAGAGGCCGCGAGTTACAGACAGCAGAACGAGGTTAGACTTCAAAAACTCGCTGTTCTCCGAGCGAAGAAGCCTACACACTTAAAAAAAGACGGTTCTACAAAGGTTCTTTAGTAAAGGGTGTGGTTGTGTTTTGAAACATGAGTTCCATTTAGAACCATTTCATGCTTAAATGCACTTCACACTGATGGAAAATGTGCTGTATATGGTTCTTTATAGCACTAAAAAGGGTTCTTCTGTTCTTACAAGCTTGATATTGTACTAGCAGAACCCTTTTAGGTGCTATATAGAACCATTTCATGCTTCTTTGCATGGGGAAATGGTTCTTAAGATTGATGAAGAATATGTTATAAACAGATCATTATAGAACCTTTGTGAAAATGGTTCTATAAGTATTCTTCTGTTGTTATGAGCTTGGCATCATAACAGTAGCAGAACCCTTTTTGGTGCTATATAGAACCATTTTTGAGAAGGCTCTGTTCCGAAACATTTCATGCTTAAATGGTTCTTAGCATGGTGAAATGGTTCTTCAGATCGTTGAAGAATATGTTGTATATGGTTCTATATAGAACCTTTATGAAAATGGTTCTATTATGGGTTCTTCTGTTGTTACAAGCTTGACATCATGATAACAGAAAAACCCTGGTTCTATATAGAACCATGTACATCACATTCTCCACCAATCTGAAGAACCATTTCACCATGCTAAGAACCATTCAAGATGAAATGGTTCTATATATCCTTAACAGAACCATTGCCTTTACTAAAGAACCCTTGAAGAACCATCTTTTTAAGTGTGTAGAACAAACTACAGGTCTGCAAAACCAGCTGATTATTATTATTATTATTATTATTATTATTACTCTGTTTCTTCAACATCTGCAGTGTTTGTATCTGAAAGGCTTTCCTTCTGTGACGTCACCGCGTCGGGCGGAGAAAGGAAACCGAAAATGTCGCTTCAGGACGAAAAACGAAAACTAGACCAATCTGGCGTCGCTTCCTCTCCGCCTATTGGCTGGCGCGCCCGAGGGGGCGTGGCTATGCCGGTGTTTTTAAGGAGGGCAGCTGATCTGGAGAGCTGGACTCGATCTTTCTTTCTTCCATTGGAGGACGCAAAGCAGAAGACTGACCATCACCTGCCTTCATACAGGACACCGGTCACTCAGAGGTGAGTTCAGCTCTGTTTAAACGGCTTTATTAGACACAGTCTGCCCTGTTTCCGCTCTGCTGGAGCTCATTCAGCTCCACAGTGTTTATACTGAGTGTTCATTCACTGTATTCTACACTGTATGTCAGTGCAGGCTGGGCTCATTTAACACTGCTTATCAGGGCTGTTTCTGAGCATTTGGGGGCTCTAAACTTTGGACTTGGGGCTCATTCATTTTTATCAGGAACAAAATCTTATATTAAATATTAAACTCTAAGGGAAATGTAGTAAAGCAGTGTTTAACTAGACGGAGTTAAAGAAATAGAAACTTTACAGCAGCAAATTGAATGTGGAATTAAAGAAATCATAATAATACATTAAATTACAGTGTGTTTAAGTGGCTCTTTTTGAGGCCAATATTTATTTCTTTATTTATTTATTTGCCACAACTTCTGCCAATATCATGATGAACGACACTAATGATAATAAAATAAAAGTTAAAAAAAATTTACTAGTGTGGCCCCTTTGGCGGCCCAGGGGCCCAAAGCAACTGTTTGTATATAGCTAGAACCATCCCTGGTGCTTTTTTATGGGGAACCCCCGTAGTGAGTCCACCTCACTGATGTAACACTAAGAGTTAAAGGGGAATTCCACTGATTTTCTATAATTTCTGCACAATTCAGTGGTTGAGATGTTAACAGACTCTAAATTTCTTTACAGTGGTGGTGATAGGAACCAGACGTCCACCTCTAAAAGCTCCCTCACAGACAATTATTATACTAAATGGTTATGAATTCACTGCTTGATGTCTGAGACACTGTTTTATAGTTTTGAGAATGTTTTGGTCTAAAACGCGTATTTAAGATAGTGGAGTGATACATGCAGGGCGTTGTGAGGCAAAATAGTCCCCTAAGAAAACTTATTTTATAAGATTTATTATTATTTTACCGTCGTCCCTGCAGAAAAAAAACAGCACAGACCAGCATACATTCCATGTTGGTCGAGTGCTGATCTGATGCTGGTTCAGCTGGTCACCCCTGGTTCCTATCAGCACCACTGTAAAGACATCTGAGCCTCTAAATTGAACCACTTCACACCAAACCACTCTGAATGAAGGACTGAATTATTCTGAACAAACCTGGAAAACTTCATTTAATCATGTCCAGTTTATAATATAATATAATATGTTTCTCTCTTTCTTGCAGGTTATTGATTTATTGATCCAGTGATGGAGCTGATTGTGAAGCTTGTGAGCGGAGAGTGCCGCAGTGTGCGCGTGAGTGGAAATGCCACGGTGGGCGAGCTGAAGCGGGCGGCTGCGCAGAGCTTCGATGTGGCCACCTCATGCGTGCGGCTCTCCACGGGCAACGGGCTGCGGGTGAGCCTGGAGAGCGAGCTCACTCCACTGAGCAGCTACGGCCTCAGCTCAGGCTCCACCGTCATGCTGCTGCTGCTCGCACCTTTCCAGGTGTTCGTCAAAAACGAGAAGGGCCAGGTGAAAACCTACGACGTGACCGAGGAGGAGACGGTCAGCGAGCTGCAGAGGAAGGTCTACAACAAGGAGGGCACCCCCATTGACCAGCAGAGGCTGATCTTCGGCGGCAGGCAACTCGAAGCCGGGAAGCTGAAGGAGTACGGCATCGCCAACGGAAGCACCATTCACCTGACCCTCCGTCTTCGGGGGGGCTAACGAGGCTAACAGACCTCCTTCGGGCCGTTTCAGTGCTCTTTAAACGAGCCCTCGTCGACTTGACTTCACTCTTACTGGACTCTTTTCCATAACTTTGTTAGTATAAGTTTATTAAATGAGGCCTTCGAGGGAACAAGTGAGCATTAGCTTTAGCATTAGCACATTAGCCTCGCAATCACTGACATTTCTCTTTTCAAACCCCCAAAACGTGGAGAGCAAAAGCCACAGCAGCAAAATATTTCAAAGGGTTTCCTGTTTCAAAACTATAACACTGAACTGACTACGGTCGAACTGGCTAATACAGCTTCATTACTCTGCTAGCTTGCTTTGCTAGTTAGCAAGCTAAAAGCTACAAACAACAAAAGTAAAGGTAACTCACCATGGTTTTAATTCAACACTTACAGACAGACAGTTATTAACACAATTTATGTTCAAACGTCGGAAAATCACGTCAGCATTACAAAGTTTGCATGGTTAGCTGGTTAGCACAGTGAGGCTAACCTAGCCGAGCACACTCAGGTTGAGTAATCCCTTCCACCCCAAGCAGCCCCTCGAGAAACATAGGTGCAGTCGGGGAATTGAAGTTGACGGTTGATGATTCAGCATTAGTAGATGTTCACTTGCGAGTGGTCAAAGTTGAAGTTGGCATGTTAAGGAAAAAAAGTACTGAAATGAACTGCAGTTTCACAGAGCAGCGTTCCTCCTGTTAGCCTTTTAGCTTAGAACTACTTTATGTAGTCTGCCAAAGCTAATGCTGAACAGTGTTGAGGCTGCACTTGTTTTTTTCTGTTGGTTTTCATACTAAAAATGAAAAAAAAAAAGGTGAAAATGGTTTAGAAGCTGCACTTTCAACATCATTTCTGTGTGTTACATAAATAAAAATGACTATTTAAAATTCTTAATATATTTTTTAAATAATCAAAGAACCTGCTTTTGTTATCGCCGGCGATAACTGCACCTTAAGCCCAAACTCAGGCCTGTCCAATAGGAGGAGAGGCCACAGAGATTCTTAATTCCTATTGGACAGTCCTCACTTTTGGTCTAAGTGATCCAGTTTAGTGAGAAATCCTGCTTTGGGAAACATTTTCCTGTTTTTTTTTTTTTAAGATTTAATGTTGTAAGTACTCATATATTTAATTATATGCTTTAGTTATATTTATTCACTCTAGGCTGTGTGCAGTGCTGCCACTTTTAACGTTAGCACAGTTTAGCTGTTGAAATCTAACATGCCAAGTATTTTCTCTGTGACCAACATGTTTTTAAGTGATGTTCCCTTGTAAACACCTGCTGTTCATTAAATTATTGCTTTGTTAAAACATTTCTGGCTTTGTGAATGTTTTCTTACTGGAATGAATCAGTTTCACTGAGTGTTCAAGGTCTCCACAAAAAGCTAGGTTCAGAGTTTAAACAGTCATTCAGATGATATGGAACCAGGGGTCACCATGACAACAACACAAATATAGCCATTTTATTTGCTATCCCATTTCCTAAAAATTTGGGACGCTGTGCAAAATGTAAATAAAAACAAAATGCAATGATGTGCAAATCATTTAAACCCTATATTTCATTGAAAATAGTACAGACAACACACCGAATGTTGAAACTGAGAAATTTTATTGTTTTTTGAAAAATATAGGCACATTTTGAATTTGATGCCAACAACATGTTCCAAAGACGTTGGGACGGGGGCAACAAAAGGCTGGTAAAGTTGTGTAATGCTAAAAAACACCTGGTGGTTAATTGGCAACAGGTCAGTAACATAAGTGGGTATAAAAAAGCATCTCAGAGAGGCGGAGTCTTTCAGAAGTAAAGATGAGGAGGGGTTCACCACTCTGTGAAAGACTGCACAATCAAATAGTGTAACAATTCAAGAAAAACGTTTCTCAACATAAAATAGCAAAGAACTTTTGCTTTTCATCATCTACAGTAATAATATGATTAAAAGATTCAGAGAATCCAGAGAAATCTCCGTATGTAAGGGACAAGGCCAAAAACCAGTATCTGCTGGCTGTGATCTTTGGGCCCTCAGAAAGTGGAAAAGTGTCCTGTGGTCCAACGAATCAGCATTTGAATTTTGAATTTTCAGATTGATGAAGAATATGTTATAAACAGATCATTATAGAACCTTTGTGAAAATGGTTCTATAAGGATTCTTCTGTTGTTATGAGCTTGGCATCATAGCAGTAGCAGAACCCTTTTTGGTGCTATATAGAACCATTTTTGAGAAGGCTCTGTTCCGAAACATTTCATGCTTAAATGGTTCTTAGTATGGTGAAATAGTTCTTCAGATCATTGAAGAATATGTTGTATATGGTTCTATATAGAACCTTTATAATAATTGTTCTATAAGGGTTCTTCTGTTGTTACAAGCTTGACATCATGACAACAGAAAAACCCTGGTTCTATATAGAACCATGTACATCACATTCTCCACCAATCTGAAGAACCATTTCACCATGCTAAGAACCATTCAAGATGAAATGGTTCTATATATCCTTAACAGAACCATTGCCTTTACTAAAGAACCCTCGAAGAACCATTTTTTTAAGTGTGTAGAACAAACTACAGGTCTGCAAAACCAGCTGAATGTTCTGGAAAACGCTGATTATTATTATTATTATTACTCTGTTTCTTCAACATCTGCAGTGTTTGTATCTGAAAGGCTTTCCTTCTGTGACGTCACCGCGTCGGGCGGAGAAAGGAAACCGAAAATGTCGCTTCAGGACGAAAAACGAAAACTAGACCAATCTGGCGTCGCTTCCTCTCCGCCTATTGGCTGGCGCGCCCGAGGGGGCGTGGCTATGCCGGTGTTTTTAAGGAGGGCAGCTGATCTGGAGAGCTGGACTCGATCTTTCTTTCTTCCACTGGAGGACGCAAAGCAGAAGACTGACCATCACCTGCCTTCATACAGGACACCGGTCACTCAGAGGTGAGTTCAGCTCTGATTAAACGGCTTTATTAGACACAGTCTGCTCTGTTTCCGCTCTGCTGGAGCTCATTCAGCTCCACAGTGTTTATACTGAGTGTTCATTCACTGTATTCTACACTGTATGTCAGTGCAGGCTGGGCTCATTTAACACTGCTTATCAGGGCTGTTTCTGAGCATTTGGGGGCTCTAAACTTTGGACTTGGGGCTCATTCATTTTTATCAGGAACAAAATCTTATATTAAATATTAAACTCTAAGGGAAATGAAATAGAGCAGTGTTTAACTAGACGGAGTTAAAGAAATAGAAACTTTACAGCAGCAAATTGAATGTGGAATTAAAGAAATCATAATAATACATTAAATTACAGTGTGTTTAAGTGGCTCTTTTTGAAGCCAATATTTATTTATTTATTCATTTATTTATTGATTGATTGACTGATACATAGATAGATAGATTGATTGATTGATTGATTGATTGATTGATTTACCAAAAGCGTCTGCCAATATCATGATGAATGACACTAATGATAATAAAATAAAGGAAAAAAAAATTACTAGTGTGGCCCCTTTGGTGGCCCAGGGGCCCTAAGCAGCTGCTTATATATATAGCTAGAACCGTTCCTGGAACCCCCGTAGTGAGTCCACCTCACTGATGTAACACTAAGAGTTAAAGGGGGATTCCACTGATTTTCTATAATTTCTGCACAATTCAGTGGTTGAGATGTTAACAGACTCTAAATTTCTTTACAGTGGTGGTGATAGGAACCAGACGTCCACCTCTAAAAGCTCCCTCACAGAAAATTATTATACTAAACGGTTATGAATTCACTGCCTGATGTCTGAGACACTGTTTTATAGTTTTGAGAATGTTTTGGTCTAAAACGCGTATTTAAGATAGTGGAGTGATACATGCAGGGCGTTGTGAGGCAAAATAGTCCCCTAAGAAAACTTATTTTATAAGATTTATTATTATTTTACCGTCATCCCTGCAGAAAAAAAACAGCACAGACCAGCATACATTCCATGTTGGTCGAGTGCTGATCTGATGCTGGTTTAGCCGGTCACCCCTGGTTCCGATCAGCACCACTGTAAAGACATCTGAGCCTCTATATTGAACCACTTCACACCAAACCACTCTGAATGAAGGACTGAATTATTCTGAAAAAACCTGGAAAACTTCATTTAATCATGTTCAGTTTATAATATAATATAATATGTTTCTCTCTTTCTTGCAGGTTATTGATTTATTGATCCAGTGATGGAGCTGATTGTGAAGCTTGTGAGCGGAGAGTGCCGCAGTGTGCGCGTGAGTGGAAATGCCACGGTGGGCGAGCTGAAGCGGGCGGCTGCGCAGAGCTTCGATGTGGCCACCTCATGCGTGCGGCTCTCCACGGGCAACGGGCTGCGGGTGAGCCTGGAGAGCGAGCTCACTCCACTGAGCAGCTACGGCCTCAGCTCAGGCTCCACCGTCATGCTGCTGCTGCTCGCACCTATCCAGGTGTTCGTCAAAAACGAGAAGGGCCAGGTGAAAACCTACGACGTGACCGAGGAGGAGACGGTCAGCGAGCTGCAGAGGAAGGTCTACAACAAGGAGGGCACCCCCATTGACCAGCAGAGGCTGATCTTCGGCGGCAGGCAGCTCGAAGCCGGGAAGCTGAAGGAGTACGGCATCGCCAACGGAAGCACCATTCACCTGACCCTCCGTCTGCGGGGGGGCTAACGAGGCTAACAGACCTCCTTCGGGCCGTTTCAGTGCTCTTTAAACGAGCCCTCGTCGACTTGACTTCACTCTTACTGGACTCTTTTCCATAGCTTTGTTAGTATAAGTTTATTAAATGAGGCCTTAGAAGGAACAAGTGAGCATTAGCTTTAGCATTAGCACATTAGACTCACAATCACTGACATTTCTCTTTTCAAACCCCCAAAACGTGGAGAGCAAAAGCCACAGCAGCAAAATATTTCAAAAGGTTTCCTGTTTCAAAACTATAACATTGAACTGACTACGGTCGAACTGGCCAATACAGCTTCATTACTCTGCTAGCTTGCTTTGCTAGTTAGCAAGCTAAAAGCTACAAACAACAAAAGTAAAGGTAACTCAACACGGTTTTAATTCAACACTTACAGACAGACAGTTATTCACAAAATTTATGTTCAAATGTCTGAAAAACACGTCAGCATTACAAAGTTTGCATGGTTAGCGCAGTGAGGCTAACCTAGCCGAGCACACTCAGGTTGAGTAATCCCTTCCGCCCCAAGCAGCCACTCGAGAAACGTAGGTGCAGTCAGGGAATTGAAGTTGACGGTTGATGATTCAGCATTAGTAGATGTTCACTTGCGAGTGGTCAAAGTTGAAGTTGGCATGTTAAGAAAAAAAGTACTGAAATGCAGTTTCACAGAGCAGCGTTCCTCCTGTTAGCCTTTTAGCTTAGAACTACTTTATGTAGTCAGCCAAAGCTAATGCTGAACAGTGTTGAGGCTGCACTTGGTTTTTTCTGTTTGTTTTCATACTAAAAATGAAAAAAAAAAAGGTGAAAATGGTTTAGAAGCTGCACTTTCAACATCATTTCTGTGTGTTACATGAATAAAAATGACTATTTAAAATTCTTAATATATTTTTTTAAATAATCAAAGAACCTGCTTTTGTTATTGCCGGCGATAACTGCACCTTAAGCCCAAACTCAGGCCAGTCTAATAGGAGGAGAGGCCACGGATATTCTTCATTCCTATTGGACAGCCCTCACTTTTGGTCTAAGTGATCCAGTTTAGTGAGAAATCCTGCTTTGGGAAACATTTTCCTGTTTTTTTTTTAGATTTAATGTTGTAAGTTATACTCATATATGTAATTATATGCTTTAGTTATATTTATTCACTCTAGGCTATGTGCAGTGCTGCCACTGTTAACGTTAGCACAGTTTAGCTGTTGAAATCTAACATGCCAAGTATTTTCTCTGTGACCAACATGTTTTTAAGTGATGTTCCCTTGTAAACACCTGCTGTTCATTAAATTATTGCTTTGTTAAAACATTTCTGGCTTTGTGAATGTTTTCTTACTGGAATGAATCAGTTTCACTGAGTGTTCAAGGTCTCCACAAAAAGCTAGGTTCAGAATTTAAACAGTCATTCAGATGATATGGAACCAGGGGTCACCATGACAACAACACAAATATAGCCATTTTATTTGCTATCCCATTTCCTAAAAATTTGGGACGCTGTGCAAAATGTAAATAAAAACAAAATGCAATGATGTGCAAATCATTTAAACCCTATATTTCATTGAAAATAGTACAGACAACACACCGAATGTTGAAACTGAGAAATTTTATTGTTTTTTGAAAAATATAGGCACATTTTGAATTTGATGCCAACAACATGTTCCAAAAAGGCTGGTAAAGTTGTGTAATGCTAAAAAAACACCTGGTGGTTAATTGGCAACAGGTCAGTAACATAAGTGGGTATAAAAAAGCATCTCAGAGAGGCGGAGTCTTTCAGAAGTAAAGATGAGGAGGGGTTCACCACTCTGTGAAAGACTGCACAATCAAATAGTGTAACAATTCAAGAAAAACGTTTCTCAACATAAAATAACAAAGAACTTTTGCTTTTCATCATCTACAGTAATAATATGATTAAAAGATTCAGAGAATCCAGAGAAATCTCCGTATGTAAGGGACAAGGCCAAAAACCAGTATCTGCTGGCTGTGATCTTTGGGCCCTCAGAAAGTGGAAAAGTGTCCTGTGGTCCAACGAATCAGCATTTGAATTTTGAATTTTCAGATTGATGAAGAATATGTTATAAACAGATCATTATAGAACCTTTGTGAAAATGGTTCTATAAGGATTCTTCTGTTGTTATGAGCTTGGCATCATAGCAGTAGCAGAACCCTTTTTGGTGCTATATAGAACCATTTTTGAGAAGGCTCTGTTCCGAAACATTTCATGCTTAAATGGTTCTTAGTATGGTGAAATAGTTCTTCAGATCATTGAAGAATATGTTGTATATGGTTCTATATAGAACCTTTATAATAATTGTTCTATAAGGGTTCTTCTGTTGTTACAAGCTTGACATCATGACAACAGAAAAACCCTGGTTCTATATAGAACCATGTACATCACATTCTCCACCAATCTGAAGAACCATTTCACCATGCTAAGAACCATTCAAGATGAAATGGTTCTATATATCCTTAACAGAACCATTGCCTTTACTAAAGAACCCTCGAAGAACCATTTTTTTAAGTGTGTAGAACAAACTACAGGTCTGCAAAACCAGCTGAATGTTCTGGAAAACGCTGATTATTATTATTATTATTATTACTCTGTTTCTTCAACATCTGCAGTGTTTGTATCTGAAAGGCTTTCCTTCTGTGACGTCACCGCGTCGGGCGGAGAAAGGAAACCGAAAATGTCGCTTCAGGACGAAAAACGAAAACTAGACCAATCTGGCGTCGCTTCCTCTCCGCCTATTGGCTGGCGCGCCCGAGGGGGCGTGGCTATGCCGGTGTTTATAATGAGCGCGGCTGATCTGGAGAGCTGGACTCGATCTTTCTTTCTTCCATTGGAGGACGCAAAGCAGAAGACTGACCATCACCTGCCTTCATACAGGACACCGGTCACTCAGAGGTGAGTTCAGCTCTGATTAAACGGCTTTATTAGACACAGTCTGCTCTGTTTCCGCTCTGCTGGAGCTCATTCAGCTCCACAGTGTTTATACTGAGTGTTCATTCACTGTATTCTACACTGTATGTCAGTGCAGGCTGGGCTCATTTAACACTGCTTATCAGGGCTGTTTCTGAGCATTTGGGGGCTCTAAACTTTGGACTTGGGGCTCATTCATTTTTATCAGGAACAAAATCTTATATTAAATATTAAACTCTAAGGGAAATGAAATAGAGCAGTGTTTAACTAGACGGAGTTAAAGAAATAGAAACTTTACAGCAGCAAATTGAATGTGGAATTAAAGAAATCATAATAATACATTAAATTACAGTGTGTTTAAGTGGCTCTTTTTGAAGCCAATATTTATTTATTTATTCATTTATTTATTGATTGATTGACTGATACATAGATAGATAGATTGATTGATTGATTGATTGATTGATTGATTTACCAAAAGCGTCTGCCAGTATCATGATGAATGACACTAATGATAATAAAATAAAGGAAAAAAAAATTACTAGTGTGGCCCCTTTGGTGGCCCAGGGGCCCTAAGCAGCTGCTTATATATATAGCTAGAACCGTTCCTGGAACCCCCGTAGTGAGTCCACCTCACTGATGTAACACTAAGAGTTAAAGGGGGATTCCACTGATTTTCTATAATTTCTGCACAATTCAGTGGTTGAGATGTTAACAGACTCTAAATTTCTTTACAGTGGTGGTGATAGGAACCAGACGTCCACCTCTAAAAGCTCCCTCACAGAAAATTATTATACTAAACGGTTATGAATTCACTGCCTGATGTCTGAGACACTGTTTTATAGTTTTGAGAATGTTTTGGTCTAAAACGCGTATTTAAGATAGTGGAGTGATACATGCAGGGCGTTGTGAGGCAAAATAGTCCCCTAAGAAAACTTATTTTATAAGATTTATTATTATTTTACCGTCATCCCTGCAGAAAAAAAACAGCACAGACCAGCATACATTCCATGTTGGTCGAGTGCTGATCTGATGCTGGTTTAGCCGGTCACCCCTGGTTCCGATCAGCACCACTGTAAAGACATCTGAGCCTCTATATTGAACCACTTCACACCAAACCACTCTGAATGAAGGACTGAATTATTCTGAAAAACCTGGAAAACTTCATTTAATCATGTTCAGTTTATAATATAATATAATATGTTTCTCTCTTTCTTGCAGGTTATTGATTTATTGATCCAGTGATGGAGCTGATTGTGAAGCTTGTGAGCGGAGAGTGCCGCAGTGTGCGCGTGAGTGGAAATGCCACGGTGGGCGAGCTGAAGCGGGCGGCTGCGCAGAGCTTCGATGTGGCCACCTCATGCGTGCGGCTCTCCACGGGCAACGGGCTGCGGGTGAGCCTGGAGAGCGAGCTCACTCCACTGAGCAGCTACGGCCTCAGCTCAGGCTCCACCGTCATGCTGCTGCTGCTCGCACCTATCCAGGTGTTCGTCAAAAACGAGAAGGGCCAGGTGAAAACCTACGACGTGACCGAGGAGGAGACGGTCAGCGAGCTGCAGAGGAAGGTCTACAACAAGGAGGGCACCCCCATTGACCAGCAGAGGCTGATCTTCGGCGGCAGGCAGCTCGAAGCCGGGAAGCTGAAGGAGTACGGCATCGCCAACGGAAGCACCATTCACCTGACCCTCCGTCTGCGGGGGGGCTAACGAGGCTAACAGACCTCCTTCGGGCCGTTTCAGTGCTCTTTAAACGAGCCCTCGTCGACTTGACTTCACTCTTACTGGACTCTTTTCCATAACTTTGTTAGTATAAGTTTATTAAATGAGGCCTTAGAAGGAACAAGTGAGCATTAGCTTTAGCATTAGCACATTAGACTCACAATCACTGACATTTCTCTTTTCAAACCCCCAAAACGTGGAGAGCAAAAGCCACAGCAGCAAAATATTTCAAAAGGTTTCCTGTTTCAAAACTATAACATTGAACTGACTACGGTCGAACTGGCCAATACAGCTTCATTACTCTGCTAGCTTGCTTTGCTAGTTAGCAAGCTAAAAGCTACAAACAACAAAAGTAAAGGTAACTCAACACGGTTTTAATTCAACACTTACAGACAGACAGTTATTCACACAATTTATGTTCAAACGTCGGAAAATCACGTCAGCATTACAAAGTTTGCATGGTTAGCTGGTTAGCACAGTGAGGCTAACCTAGCCGAGCACACTCAGGTTGAGTAATCCCTTCCACCCCAAGCAGCCACTCGAGAAACGTAGGTGCAGTCGGGGAATTGAAGTTGACGGTTGATGATTCAGCATTAGTAGATGTTCACTTGCGAGTGGTCAAAGTTGAAGTTGGCATGTTAAGGAAAAAAAGTACTGAAATGAACTGCAGTTTCACAGAGCAGCGTTCCTCCTGTTAGCCTTTTAGCTTATAACTACTTTATGTAGTCAGCCAAAGCTAATGCTGAACAGTGTTGAGGCTGCACTTGTTTTTTTTCTGTCTGTTTTCACACTAAAATGAGGTGAAAATGGTTTAGAAGCTGCACTTTCAACATCATTTCTGTGTGTTACATAAATAAAAATGACTATTTAAAATTCTTAATATATTTTTTAAATAATCAAAGAACCTGCTTTTGTTATCGCCGGCGATAACTGCACCTTAAGCCCAAACTCAGGCCTGTCCAATAGGAGGAGAGGCCACGGAGCCTCTTCATTCCTATTGGACAGCCCTCACTTTTGGTTTAAGTGATCCAGTTTAGTGAGAAATCCTGCTTTGGGAAACATTTTCCTGTTTTTTTTTAAGATTTAATGTTGTAAGTTATACTCATATATTTAATTATATGCTTTAGTTATATTTATTCACTCTAGGCTATGTGCAGTGCTGCCACTGTTAACGTTAGCACAGTTTAGCTGTTGAAGTCTAACATGCCAAGTATTTTCTCTGTGACCAACATGTTTTTAAGTGATGTTCCCTTGTAAACACCTGCTGTTCATTAAATTATTGCTTTGTTAAAACATTTCTGGCTTTGTGAATGTTTTCTTACTGGAATGAATCAGTTTCACTGAGTGTTCAAGGTCTCCACAAAAAGCTAGGTTCAGAATTTAAACAGTCATTCAGATGATATGGAACCAGGGGTCACCATGACAACAACACAAATATAGCCATTTTATTTGCTATCCCATTTCCTAAAAATTTGGGACGCTGTGCAAAATGTAAATAAAAACAAAATGCAATGATGTGCAAATCATTTAAACCCTATATTTCATTGAAAATAGTACAGACAACACATCGAATGTTGAAACTGAGAAATTTTATTGTTTTTGGAAAAATATAGGCACATTTTGAATTTGATGCCAACAACATGTTCCAAAGACGTTGGGACGGGGGCAACAAAAGGCTGGTAAAGTTGTGTAATGCTAAAAAAACACCTGGTGGTTAATTGGCAACAGGTCAGTAACATAAGTGGGTATAAAAAAGCATCTCAGAGAGGCGGAGTCTTTCAGAAGTAAAGATGAGGAGGGGTTCACCACTCTGTGAAAGACTGCACAATCAAATAGTGTAACAATTCAAGAAAAACGTTTCTCAACATAGAATAGCAAAGAACTTTTGCTTTTCATCATCTACAGTAATAATATGATTAAAAGATTCAGAGAATCCAGAGAAATCTCCGTATGTAAGGGACAAGGCCAAAAACCAGTATCTGCTGGCTGTGATCTTTGGGCCCTCAGAAAGTGGAAAAGTGTCCTGTGGTCCAACAAATCAGCATTTGAATTTTTTTTAGAAATCATGGACACTGTGTCCTCCAGGCTAAAGACCACTCAGCTTGTTATCAGTGCACAGTTCAAAAGCCAGTATTCATGATGGTATAGGGGGGCATTAGTGCACATTGTATGGGTGACCTGCACATCTGTGAAGGCATCATTAATGCTGAATGATATATACATGTTTTAGCAACATATGCTGCCATCCAGACGACGTCTTTTTCAGGGAAGGCCTTGATTATTTCAGTAAGACAATGTCAAACCACATTCTGCATGTATCACAACAGCATTGCTCCGTATTAAAAGAGTCCGGGTGCTAAACTGACCTGCCTGCAGTCCAGACCTGTCACCACTGAAAACATTTGGCGCATTATGAAATGAAAAGTACGACAAAGGAGAAAACATTTCACTTACAAACCTACAGCAGTGTCTCCTCAGTTCCTTAATGTTTACAGAGTGTTGTTAAAAGAAGAGGTGGTGAAACGCAGTGGTAAACAGGCCCCCGTCCCAACTTTTTTGGAACGTGTTGTTGGCATCAAATTCAAAATGTGCCTATATTTTTCAAAAAACAATAAAATTTCTCAGTTTCAACATTTGATATATTTTCTTTCTACTATTTCCACTTTAAAATATGGTTTACATGATTTGCACATCATTGCATTCTGTTTTTATTTACATTCTGCACAGCATCCAACTTTTTTGGAAATGGGGTTGTACTATCCAAAACCACCAGTGAACGTACACGTCTCTTCTGAGGTTTTAAACATAGAAAATCTGAAAAATAAGTTTTCTTTGGGGACTATTTTGCCTACATGTGTCTCAAAACTGTCATAAACAGTGTCTCAGAAATGTCTCAGTGAATTCATAACCACTTCATATAATGACTGTCTGTGAGGGAGCTTTTAGAGGTGGACGTCTGGTTCCTATCACCACCACAGCTCTTGAATGCAGCTGTTCAGGATCCAAAACAACAACAATAAACATGCTACTGTTCATTATGCAGTGATAGGAGTTCAGCTGAGTGACCTTCTGGTGGGCTCTATTGAAGGTCCACTCACTCCAATCTACAGGCTGAGCTACAGTAAAACATATATAATTCTAATAAAAGGAGACTTTAATGTTCCTGAAAACGACCTGCTCTCCTTCAGGAATGTGTGACGTAGGGAATTCCAGCTGGAATTCCCCGTCACATGATCACTTTTTCAGGTACCTTTTCTGTTTCCTTTCTCCAGAACACTTTCCGAGTGGAAATGGAAACTCGCTGTGCTGTTTGTTGTGGACAGAGTTCAGGATCAGAGGCTGGTCCAAAGTACAGACTGTGTTTATCGACACTGAGTGACTGACATTTACATCAGCACATGTTTTATATTGATCATTAATAACTCATACAATGCAAATTTAAAGTGGAACTCCTCCAGTTTTTCACACCAGCTGCTCAACCTGCAGCCTAAATCGGCCAAAGTCTCTAAACTACCACACTGGACGAAACATGTAGGCTTGTATTTTGGTGAGATCAGTCCTATGATGTCAGCAGTGTTAGCCTGCATGCAGTAACGGCCGTATTTTGGCTCTGGAGCGTTTCTGGATGTGACATCATGATTTACCGCCATTCATTTTTCTCACTGAGAGAACCGGCTCAGAGCCGGACGTCCTTATATGGGCGTAGAGGCGGATGTCTGTGGTCAGAGGCCGCGAGTTACAGACAGCAGATGAAGGTTAGATTAAAAACCACCACAATGTTCTTCAAAAACTCGCTGTTCTCAGAGCGAAGAAGCCTACACACTTAAAAAAAGACGGTTCTACAAAGGTTCTTTAGTAAAGGGAATGGTTCTGTTTTGAAACATGAGTTCCATTTAGAACCATTTCATGCTTAAATGCACTTCACACTGATGGAAAATGTGCTGTATATGGTTCTTTATAGCACTAAAAAGGGTTCTTCTGTTCTTACAAGCTTGACATTGTACTAGCAGAACCCTTTTTGGTGCTATATAGAACCATTTCATGCTTCTTTGCATGGGGAAATGATTCTTAAGATTGATGAAGAATATGTTATAAACAGTTCTATATAGAACCTTTATGAAAATGGTTCTATAAGGATTCTTCTGTTGTTACAAGCTTGACATCATGATAACAGAAAAACCCTGGTTCTATATAGAACCATGTACATCACATTCTCCACCAATCTGAAGAACCATTTCACCATGCTAAGAACCATTCAAGATGAAATGGTTCTGTATATCCTTAACAGAACCATTGCCTTTATTAAAGAACCCTTGAAGAACCATCTTTTTAAGTGTGTAGAACAAACTACAGGTCTGCAAAACCAGCTGAATGTTCTGGAAAACGCTGATTATTATTATTATTATTATTATTATTATTATTACTCTGTTTCTTCAACATCTGCAGTGTTTGTATCTGAAAGGCTTTCCTTCTGTGACGTCACCGCGACGGGCGGAGAAAGGAAACCGAAAATGTCGCTTCAGGACGAAAAAAAAACGCTTCCTCTCCGCCTATTGGCTGGCGCGCCCGAGGGGGCGTGGCTATGCCGGTGTTTTTAAGGAGGGCAGCTGATCTGGAGAGCTGGACTCGATCTTTCTTTCTTCCATTGGAGGACGCAAAGCAGAAGACTGACCATCACCTGCCTTCCTACAGGACACCGGTCACTCAGAGGTGAGTTCAGCTCTGATTAAACGGCTTTATTAGACACAGTCTGCTCTGTTTCCGCTCTGCTGGAGCTCATTCAGCTCCACAGTGTTTATACTGAGTGTTCATTCACTGTATTCTACACTGTATGTCAGTGCAGGCTGGGCTCATTTAACACTGCTTATCAGGGCTGTTTCTGAGCATTTGGGGGCTCTAAACTTTGGACTTGGGGCTCATTCATTTTTATCAGGAACAAAATCTTATATTAAATATTAAACTCTAAGGGAAATGTAGTAAAGCAGTGTTAGAAACTTTACAGCAGCAAATTGAATGTGGAATTAAAGAAATCATAATAATACATTAAATTACAGTGTGTTTAAGTGGCTCTTTTTGAAGCCAATATTTATTTATATATTTATTTGCCAAAAGCGTCTGCCAATATCATGATGAACGACACTAATGATAATAAAATAAAGGAAAAAAAATTACTAGTGTGGCCCCTTTGGGGGCCCAGGGGCCCTAAGCAGCTGCTTATATATATAGCTAGAACCGTCCCTGGTGCTTATTTATGGGGAACCCCCGTAGTGAGTCCACCTCGCTGATGTAACACTAAAAGGAGAACTCCACTGATTTTCTATAATTTCTGCACAATTCAGTGGTTGAGATGTTAACAGAGTCATTCATAGTGGTTTGGTGTGAAACGCTCTGTTCTAGAGAAACTTAGAGAGTCAGAATTGTTCACAGTGGTGGTGATAGGAACCAGACGTCCACCTCTAAAAGCTCCCTCACAGAAGATTATTATATTGAATGGTTATGAATTCACTGCCTGATGTCTGAGACACTGTTTTATAGTTTTGAGAATGTTTTGGTCTAAAACGCGTATTTAAGATAGTGGAGTGATACATGCAGGGCGTTGTGAGGCAAAATAGTCCCCTAAGAAAACTTATTTTATAAGATTTATTATTATTTTACCGTCATCCCTGCAGAAAAAAAACAGCACAGACCAGCATACATTCCATGTTGGTCAAGTGCTGATCTGATGCTGGTTCAGCTGGTCACCCCTGGTTCCTATCAGCACCACTGTAAAGACATCTGAGCCTCTATATTGAACCACTTCACACCAAACCACTCTGAATGAAGGACTGAATTATTCTGAACAAACCTGGAAAACTTCATTTAATCATGTTCAGTTTATAATATAATATAATATGTTTCTCTCTTTCTTGCAGGTTATTGATTTATTGATCCAGTGATGGAGCTGATTGTGAAGCTTGTGAGCGGAGAGTGCCGCAGTGTGCGCGTGAGTGGAAATGCCACGGTGGGCGAGCTGAAGCGGGCGGCTGCGCAGAGCTTCGATGTGGCCACCTCATGCGTGCGGATCTCCACGGGCAACGGGCTGCGGGTGAGCCTGGAGAACGAGCTCACTCCACTGAGCAGCTACGGCCTCAGCTCAGGCTCCACCGTCATGCTGCTGCTGCTCGCACCTTTCCAGGTGTTCGTCAAAAACGAGAAGGGCCAGGTGAAAACCTACGACGTGACCGAGGAGGAGACGGTCAGCGAGCTGCAGAGGAAGGTCTACAACAAGGAGGGCACCCCCATTGACCAGCAGAGGCTGATCTTCGGCGGCAGGCAGCTCGAAGCCGGGAAGCTGAAGGAGTACGGCATCGCCAACGGAAGCACCATTCACCTGACCCTCCGTCTGCGGGGGGGCTAACGAGGCTAACAGACCTCCTTCGGGCCGTTTCAGTGCTCTTTAAACGAGCCCTCGTCGACTTGACTTCACTCTTACTGGACTCTTTTCCATAACTTTGTTAGTACAAGTTTATTAAATGAGGCCTACGGCAGTTTCACAGAGCAGCGTTCCTCCTGTTAGCCTTTTAGCTTACAACTACTTTATGTAGTCTGCCAAAGCTAATGCTGAACAGTGTTGAGACTGCACTTGTTTTCTGTTTGTTTTCATACTAAAATGAAAAAAAAAAAAGTTAAAAATGGTTTAGAAGCTGCACTTTCAACATCATTTCTGTGTGTTACATAAATAAAAATGACTATTTAAAATTCTTAATATATTTTTTAAATAATCAAAGAACCTGCTTTTGTTATCGCCGGCGATAACTGCACCTTAAGCCCAAACTCAGGCCTGTCCAATAGGAGGAGAGGCCACGGATCTTCTTCATTCCTATTGGACAGTCCTCACTTTTGGTCTAAGTGATCCAGTTTAGTGAGAAATCCTGCTTTGGGAAACATTTTCCTGTTTTTTTTAAGATTTAATGTTTTAAGTTATACTCATATATTTAATTATATGCTTTAGTTATATTTATTCACTCTAGGCTATGTGCAGTGCTGCCACTGTTAACGTTAGCACAGTTTAGCTGTTGAAGTCTAACATGCCAAGTATTTTCTCTGTGACCAACATGTTTTTAAGTGATGTTCCCTTGTAAACACCTGCTGTTCATTAAATTATTGCTTTGTTAAAACATTTCTGGCTTTGTGAATGTTTTCTTACTGGAATGAATCAGTTTCACTGAGTGTTCAAGGTCTCCACAAAAAGCTAGGTTCAGAATTTAAACAGTCATTCAGATGATATGGAACCAGGGGTCACCATGACAACAACACAAATATAGCCATTTTATTTGCTATCCCATTTCCTAAAAATTTGGGACGCTGTGCAAAATGTAAATAAAAACAAAATGCAATGATGTGCAAATCATTTAAACCCTATATTTCATTGAAAATAGTACAGACAACACATCGAATGTTGAAACTGAGAAATTTTATTGTTTTTGGAAAAATATAGGCACATTTTGAATTTGATGCCAACAACATGTTCCAAAGACGTTGGGACGGGGGCAACAAAAGGCTGGTAAAGTTGTGTAATGCTAAAAAACACCTGGTGGTTAATTGGCAACAGGTCAGTAACATAAGTGGGTATAAAAAAGCATCTCAGAGAGGCGGAGTCTTTCAGAAGTAAAGATGAGGAGGGGTTCACCACTCTGTGAAAGACTGCACAATCAAATAGTGTAACAATTCAAGAAAAACGTTTCTCAACATAAAATAACAAAGAACTTTTGCTTTTCATCATCTACAGTAATAATATGATTAAAAGATTCAGAGAATCCAGAGAAATCTCCGTATGTAAGGGACAAGGCCAAAAACCAGTATCTGCTGGCTGTGATCTTTGGGCCCTCAGAAAGTGGAAAAGTGTCCTGTGGTCCAACAAATCAGCATTTGAATTTTTTTTAGAAATCATGGACACTGTGTCCTCCAGGCTAAAGACCACTCAGCTTGTTATCAGTGCACAGTTCAAAAGCCAGTATTCATGATGGTATAGGGGGGCATTAGTGCACATTGTATGGGTGACCTGCACATCTGTGAAGGCATCATTAATGCTGAATGATATATACATGTTTTAGCAACATATGCTGCCATCCAGACGACGTCTTTTTCAGGGAAGTCCTTGATTATTTCAGTAAGACAATGTCAAACCACATTCTGCATGTATCACAACAGCATTGCTCCGTATTAAAAGAGTCCGGGTGCTAAAC